CATTCTACTGTCTTTCTTATTCCCATCCCCCCATCCCTTCCTTTCCCTTTGTCTAATCCAATGAATTTATATTCTTTCCTCCCACTCCCCCTGTTGTGTGTCAGCATTTACATATCATAGAATAGAAATGTTCAAGAATACAAGTAACAATGTTGATAACATTGTAGGGAAAACATTACATATATATTGTTGGTGGGACTGCAAATTGGTGCAACCACTCTAGAAAGCAGTATGGAGATTCCTCAATACTGGAACAATCATTTCACCCAGTTATCCAAAGTATTTAAAATCAGTTTACTACAGGGGGGCTGACTGGAGAATACAAGTTCAGTGGATTAGACAAAGGGAAATGAAGGGAAGGGATGGAGGATGGGAAAAGGAAAGGAAAAACAGTGGAATGAATCTGATATAACTTCCCTATGTACATACATGAATATACCACAGTGAATCTTCATGTACATACACAAGAAATTAATTTAAAGAGAAATCTATGGGTAAATGTCAGAAAGATCAATAGAGGAAAAGAGGTGTTGGGGTCTGAATTAGAACAAGATATATTCCATGTTTGTTTAATTATGTCAAAATGGATTCTACTGTCATGAATAATTAAAAAGAACCATTAAAAAATAAAATTTTTAAAAAAGGGCTGGGGGGCTTGGGCTGTAGCTCACTTTGCTAGCATGTGTGAGGCACTGGATTTGACCTTAGCACCACATAAAAATAAATGTCCATATACAAATGTCCATATACAAAAGAATTCTGTCCATATACAACTACAAAAATAATATTTTTAAAGTTAAAAGGTGGGGGCTGGGGATGTGGCAAAGTACCTCTGGGTTAATTGGCAGTACCCGCCCTACCCCCACCCCCAAAAGAGAAAGAAATATTGCCAAAGTCAATGTGTATTTTTTCAACATCTGGGCAAAGCCTGAGGTTACACATCAAAGAAAGATAAAAAATAAGTCCTTGAGATAATAAAATTATTTACATGACTATATGAGCAAAAAAAATCATGGAATTTGGTTGAAGGAACTGCTGAACTTTTAGGAAAATTTCTCTGCCATAAATGATCTTACTCCATAAAATAACAAAAATTTTGAAAAGTAAAATTAATACTTTGGAGGGCTGAGGGTTGTGGCTCAGTGGTAGAGCACTCGCCTAGCATGTGCGAGGCCCTGGGTTTGATCCTCAGCACCACATAAAAATAAATAAAGATATTATGTTCAACTACAACTGAAAAATAAATATTAAAAAAGTTAAGACTTTGGAGACTACTATCTGTATGTTTCAAATTTGGAAATGCCAACAGACTCTGCTATGAAAATACTTTTATTAGTTATGTCATTAGTTTTATAAAATTTTAATTTTCATTTCTGTAATCTTTATTTCATTGATTATTTGGTCTTGATCTACGTTTATAAATCCAGTGCCCACAATATGTCGTACTTCTGTATATCCTACTTATTGACTCATTATTTCATCTGTTCTTCACTAAGTAGTTTTTCCCCCCAGAGTGGACTCACAGATGCTATATTTGCTTTTTTCATTAATTCTTGAATGGCACAGATTTAGATGTAATAGTTTAGGGTTATGCTGGCTTTACCTTAAAACTGCACAGATAGCTAACTGGGCATGGTGGCAACATGCCTTTAATTCCAGCAGCTCAGGAGGCTTGCAAGTTCAAAGCCAGCCTGGGGATGTAGCTCAGTGGTTAAGCACCCATGGATTCAATCCCTGATACCAAAAAAACAAAACAACAACAACAACAACCTTGCACAGATATTTTGTTTTATTTTCTAGCTTTAACTATTGCTTAGAAGTATAAGCCAGCATGATTTCCTCTGCCTCGTAAGTGATTTCTTTTTCTGCTTGGGGGTCTGAAAAGTTTTTCCTTATTCTTTATGATTAATAGTTTAACCAGGATATGCCTCAATATTGAATATTTTTCTCTGAACATTTTATTCCACAGATTCAGTTCTTTCATTATTTGTGGAAGTTCTCTACTATTACATTTTTAAGTGCTTTTTGTGATTCATTTTTTACATTATATACTCAGGGAGATGAGTCAGCCTATATTGTGTCATCTTGTCACTTCCATATATGTTCTTTGCAATTATTTTGATATGTTTTTCTTCTGCATTTACTGCAGTTTATTAATTTCTACAATTTATTAAATTCATTTGTTCGCTGTAATTTAACTACTGTATATGGCAGACACTGTGGTAAATATGATCACATCTCTTCCTTTATAAAGCTGACATTTTAGTAGAAAATAGAGGAAGAACCCCAATCCCAGAGGAAGAGGTACTGCCTATTTGCTGCTGGTACCTTTGAGAGGCTATGTTGGGACTGGCTCTAGAGGAGTGGAAAGTAGTTGAAATTTGTAGCTAATTACCACACTGTGAGATCTATATCTGGGGCAATGCTGTCAGGTACAGAAGGTCAACAAAGAAAAGGCAAGTTTTTTTCCCTCCCCTGTCCTTTACTTTGTCTTCCCCTATTACTCTTTATTGGCAGAACAAAACAAGAATTCAGCTGGCAAACTAGAAACATAGCTTGTAGAGCTCTAGTCTTGGCATTACAAAAGCATAGTATGGAAAATAGTAGGAATATAACAGGTAAGAAGGCATAGTAATGTTAGGTATTATTATAATAGTTATCATTTAATGAGTGCCTATGAGCCAGATACTATGCTAGGTACTTCCCCATACATCTCTAAAACTTGTAAAAGCACTACAAGGTAAGATCATTAACAGTTATTTCTACATGAAACCTTTTTTTATTGGTGATGTCAGATCACAGAATCTTATGAAAAAGCTCACAACTTAACCAAAAGAAACAAGAAAATTTGTCCTTTGTGTTTATCAAAAATTTGCACTTAAGAGACTGTTCTTTTTGAAGTAAATTATTTTTTTTTTTTTGGAAAAGTACACCACACAAACTAAGAAGACACCATTTTTTCCCCATTTTTTATTGTTGCATTATAGTTGTACCATATTGTGTGACTCATTGTTACATATTCGTGCATACATACATTATAACAATGTAATTTGGCCAATATCATTCCCCAGTATTTCTCCTTATAGGCTTTTGATACACTGTTTCATTAAACTCTTCTGTGAAAGAGTTGCTAATTGACAGTTTCAAGGAACTTAGTAAATTAATTAAGGTATTCCTTTTTCTAATCATCTCCTCACCATCAACTAATATGCAAATGCTATGTTAAAATACTTAGTAAATAATTATAATTATTACTGTGTCAGTTACAAGATATATATTAATGTTTTTTCCTTGAAATTCCATTATGTGGATTTCAAGAATACCAAACTTCTTCCTTATTCAACAATGTTTGTACACACACACATATATATATGCATTTATAGTCATTATGATGCTGAAAACATATCACTGGGACATAAACATATGTATGACAAATAATGTATTTCTTTTTCTGATTATAAAAGTAGTAAATGGTAAATGAAGAAACTTGAAAATATGTTAAAGAATAAGTATTTTTTAAGGAACAGCAGCAGGGCTAGTGCTGTAGCTCAGAGGCAGAGCACATGCCTAACATATGTGAGGCATTGGGTTCAATCCTTAGGACTTCATAAAAAATAAATAAATAAATGCTGTCCATCTACAACTACAAAAAAAAAAAAAACAGGAAAAAAATAATCAGCAGTTCCTTTATTTAGAGGCAGCTATTGACAGCTGACATATTTCCATGCAGTTTTTAAGCTGATGACATTTAAACTGTTCAATTGTGTACACTTCCTTTTTTACATAACACTACACAAAACTATTTTCAGTGGCTGTATAATGTTTCCATTTAAGAAAATAGTACTTACTTTCCTTATAAATAATGTTGCTGAAAGCTTTTGTATGCATAAACCTGTTTAAGCATTTTAGATGATTTCCTAAATTAGGATAATAAGGCAAAAATATCAATATTTTTAAGTTTCTTCATCTAGTAAAAAAAATGTTCTATGAAAAATCATTTCTCTTTTATTTATTTATAGACTCTTTTTCTTTCTTTTCTTTTTTTTTTTTTTTTTTTTTTTTTTGTGGTGCTGGGGATTAAATAAACCCAGGGCCTTGTGCATGCAAGGCAAGCACTCTACCAATTAAGCTATATTCCTAGTCCATCTATATACTTTTATATTAAAAAATATAACGAGCCAGGTGTAGTGGTACACACCTTAAATCCCAGAGGCTTGGGAGGCTGAGACAGGAGGATCGCAAGTTCAAAGCCACCTTTAGCAAAAGCGAGGCACCAAGCAACTCAGTGAGACCCTGTCTCTAAATAAAATCCAAAATAGGGCTGGGGATGTGGCTTGGTGGTCAAGGGCCCCTGTATTCAGTCCTAGGTACCCCCATGTATGTATGTATGTATGTGTATATATATATACACACACACACACACACATACATACATACATATTAGAAAAATTTATGTGGACAACCTTTTTAAGCTGAGATTAATATTTAATATTAGATTCAGTGTTTTGTTGTTTGGGTTTTTTTTTTTTTTCTTTCTTTCTCCTCTCCACCCCATGTTTTAATATTTAAACCTTCAAGGAAAAACCTGCTCTTTAAAATTTGGTGGGGGGTCAGGTTCAAAATTTATCCTTAATTTGAGGACATAAATTACTTCTACATAATGCTTCCATTTCCCTATTTCCCAAAATGCTCACCCAACAGTTTCCCCATCCAACTAACATGATCTCGTGTGTACACCACTAATTTATGCAAGAGATTAACAAAAGCAAATGAATAAACCAATAAAACAGTTATATATATATATATTATAATTTAGTTCCTTTAACAAGCATTATTTAAATGAGGGTTCTCCCCTAAGAATTGTTTAAGTTATACTAAGTAAGCAAAATTTAAATATACAGAATTTTTAGGAAATACAAATGACCTCTATAAATCTTTTATAACTCTGATCATTATCATTCCTTTGTGCCTGGATCTCCCACTAATCCCCCCCCCCCAAAAAAAAAAAAAAAGCCATAGGCAGGACAAAATTCAAACTCTTTAGTCTAATCTTCATTCTCTCTATAATCTGTTCTGCCTCAACCTCAGATGTAGCATGTTGTAACACAAAGTGAAATGGGTCCAGTTTGGGGAGTAAAGAAACCTAGGAGGGTGGGGATGTAGCTCAGTGGTAGTGCCTTGCACAACTTGGATAAGGCCCTGGGTTTGATTCTTGGAAGGAAGGAAGGGAGGAAGGGATGGAGGAAGGCAGGAAAGGGAGTTGGGGGAACCTGGGTAACACAAGTGTCAATGTTGGAAGCGAGACCTCAGGTGAGACATTTAACTTTCCAGGTGTCAGTTTCCTTTACAAAATGATGGACTGTGACTAAATCATCTCTAAAAGCCCTTTAAGCTTTAAAATTCACTCTCCAGTTCTAGTATGTACCTATCTACATCCTTTATTCTTGACAAACAGGTATACTACTGATCAATCTTATTCTTTCCAGCTTCCATCCTTCCTCATGCTGTTTTTTCCCCACTCCTAGTTTAAGAATTTGAACCTGCATCTGCCTCATCCCCCGAGTCTGTGCTCAAAACTCAGTGTGCTGCTGCTTACTTTTCTCTCTTTCAAACTTTGTTTTAGCTGCATAATTCTTTCTACTTGACATTTAGAACATTTTGTTGTAAGAAATAGGTAGAATATGAACTAGTCTTTTAATCTTGAGTTTAGGTCTCTTCACTAGTCTCCTAGAGAAATTAAACATAATTAAACATCCAGAAAAAATGCAGGAAATTAGCACTGCAGTAAATTTGAAACAAAAAGTATGAATAGCCTCTATTTCTTAGCTTTACTCAGAACATTAATTATTCTTTTGAATCTTTTGCTTTAATTTAAAATACATATGTATACATACATATATATATGCATGTACAGATGTTTTGAATATGTATTCAGCTGTCTTAATTTGTTCAATCTTTGAAGAATATTTAATAAGTTTTGAATAACCACCATTTTGTAGCTTGAAAACACTAATGCATTCATTTAGCATGTGCAAAATTCCAGGTTGTATTGAAATTCAAGATGTGAAAATCAAAGGAAGTGTCTATGCTTTTTCTTTTTCTTTTTTTTTTTTTAATATTTATTTATTTAGTTAGTTATTGGCAGACACAACATCTTTTGTTTGTATGTGGTGCTGAGGGTCGAACCCGGGCCGCACGCATGACAGGCGAGCACGCTACCACTTGAGCCACATCCCCAGCCCAATGTCTATGCTTTTTCATACAATGCATGCACTTCAGAAACTCTTGAAATGATGTGCCTCTTACCAGCTCTTTCACTTCCCTGAAGACCTCAGTATAAAGTTAGGGTCAAGGAAAGTATTCTGTTTCAGTGTTATTCTGAAAACCATCAAACCCATTATTTTGGGTCTAGTTTTGATATACTGAAATTATATATATGTATATATTTGAGAGAGAGAGAGAATTTTTTTTAATTTTTATTTTTTAGTTCTCAGCGGACACAACATCTTTGTTGGTATGTGGTGATGAGGATCGAACCCGGGCCGCACGCATGCCAGGCGAGTGTGCTACCGCTTGAGCCACATCCCCAGCCCAATGTATATTTTTTGATATTCTGAAATAATACATATATGTAGGTATGCAGATTTTTTACATGAATGGTGTTAACTTCTTTAAAAGTAATGTTTTTGAAATTGTAAACAAACTGTATTAAAAAGAAAAATATTGGAAACCACAGAAAAGTACTGTTACCTTGAAGTATCCCATAGCCAGAGAAAAACCAATGTTAATTCATGTTTCTTTATTGCATTTACACTAAATACTAAACACCAAATACCACACAATCATGAATCACTTTAAAGATAGGGATATGAAGTCCCTAGGCAATATAATCTTATGGGACTACCATCACACACAGGGTCCACTATTGACCAAAATATTACTTATATGCTGTTTTTCATATTTAGCTTATAATGACTGTTTTCTCTTGTTACTGAATATTTTTCAAAAACATGCTTTTAACATCTGTATAACATTCCAACATAAATATATATATCAAAATTTATCCTTTCCCTCATTTAAAATAGATTGTTCCTCGATTTCTGCAATTATATAAGGATATTTTAGAATCTATACTTGTCTACTAGTAATCAAAATATTGTTATTGGTTCTCTTTTTCTGTCATGTTTCTTTTGTGGAACAAAAAAGGGTATTGTGTGATTCCTTCTTCTCATCTATTCCAGCCCATCCGTGACTTTTTCTCAGCATAAAAACCTCACTGTGGACAATGTTATAGAACCTATCCTTTTTCCTTTCTAAAATAGTGTCATCCCTGAATGAGGTCCATATTTCTACAGCTCTCCTTCAGCAAAAGAATGTGAGATAAAGCCAATTCTATGCCTGCATAAAATCTGGAAAAACGCAGATTTTAGCTTTCAAAAAAAGATGAAATTCATGAGACTAAAATTCCACTATCAAACAAATAGGCAAAGAATCATTTCTACTGGCTATATTATAAAATCACAAATAAAAATATGATTTTTGTCAAACATGGAAGTGGGGATAAAAAGGAGGAGGGAGATGGAGAGAGAAAATACTAAAAGTTTTAACTGGTAAATTCAGTGAAAATTATATAATCTTCCCTCTAATTTTTGAAGTTTTGACTTTTTTGTAATATGCTACATTCAATATTTCAATAATTACCACATTCTGCATTAGTTTTGATCCTTCCCCACACACTGAGTGAAGTATAGAAATCAGAGAGGTGGCATAGTGCTTTTGAAATTACTCTAAAAAATCCTGGGTTAAAAATCTTTTTAAAAATTTTTAATTGATTTTAAAAAATGACAGCAGAATGCATTACAATTCTTATTACACATATATACCACAATTTTTCATATCTCTGTATATAAAGTATGTTGACACCCACTTCCTGTCTTCATACATGTACTTTGGATAATGATGTCTATCACATTCCACTATCCTTGCTAATCCCCTGCCCCCTCCCTTCCCCTCCCACCCCTCTTCCCTATCTAGAATTCATCTATTCCTCACATGCTCCCCCCTCCCTACCCCACTATGAGTCAGCCTCCTTATATCAGAGAAAACATTCAGCATTTGCTTTTGGGGGATTGGCTAACTTCACTTAGCATTATCTTCTCTAATGCCATCCATTTACCTGCAAATGTAATGATTTTATTCTCTTTTATTGCTGAGTAAAATTCCATTGTGTATATATGCTAAATTTTTTTTTATCCATTCATCCACTGAAGGGCATCTAGGTTGGCTCCACAGTTTAGCTATTATGAATTGTGCTGCTATAAACATTGAAGTGGATATGCCCCTGTATTATGCTGTTTTTAAGTCCTTTGGGTATAGTCCTAGAAGAGGGATAGCTGGGTCAAATGGTGGTTCCAAATGGAATCAAACTAAAAAGTTTCATCTCAGCAAAAGAAACAATCTGTGAGGTGAACAGAGAGCCTACATCCTGGGAGCAAATTTGTACCCTTCACACATCAGGTAAAGAACTAATCTCTAGGGTATATAAAGAACTCAAAAAGCTAAGCACCAAAAAAACAAATAACCCAATCAACAAATGAGCCAAGGACCTGAACAGACACTTCTCAGAAGAAGATATACAATCAATCAACAAATATATGAAAAAATGCTCAGCATCTCTAGCAATTAGAGAAGTGTAAATCAAAACTGTTAAGACATCATCTTGGGCTGGGGATGTGGCTCAAGCAGTAGTGTGCTTGCCTGGTATGCGCGGGGCACTGGGTTCGATCCTCAACCCCACATAAAAATAAAATGGAGATGTTGTGTCCACCTAAAACTAAAAAATAAATATATATATTTTTAAAAGATATCATCTTACTCTAGTCAGAATGGCAGATATCATGAAGACAAACAATAGTAAGTGTTGGCGAGGATGTGTGGGAAAAGGTATACTCATACATTGCTGGTGGGACTGCAAATTGGTGCAGCCAATATAGAAAGCAGTATGGAGATTTCTTGGAAAAATCTTTTCAACTTAATAAGTTTTGTTTGAAAGAAGGGTAGGAACTCTGTTGTGCCTATTTACCAATGTGAATTGCTAAGAGTTAAAGATGTTCAAGTTACTATTATTACATTAATTTTAATTTGGAAGGAACACTCATGCTAAAAACGGTTTCTCCCAACAGCTCTGGACATTACATAGATGGCAGAATTTTAGTGAACAAAGGAAACATTGAGGTCATAATAATCCAACTCTCATTTTATAGATGATGAAAATTATGCCCAGATAAGTTTAGAAAAACATCTCTACTACTCAGAGCAGCAAGTGTTTTCTTTTGGGGAAAGGAAACTCCTAATATTCTATAGGTTATCAGAAGAATATGCAACCATCACTGTTGTATAAATCCTGGGAGATCTAATTTGGATCCTAAGTATACATTTTCCCCTTACAAGTCTTAATGGATCATCCATTCCATCACCTTTCTCTTTACCACAGAAACAATATGGATGTGTGCCTTCAAACAAATTGGTGCTTATCTACAATGAAACTCATGAAAAAGTTAAAATCAATTTGGCCAAGTCCGAGTGTTGCACCACTTCTGTGAAAAATATTTAAATATATCCCTATGTATACTTACCTGTAGCCTTTCAACTTTGCTTCAAGAAATTCATTTACATAACTTTACAATGTATTAGTTTTTGTATGTTTGCTTTTGAATGGCTGGGAATTGAACCCAAGGCTTCTAGCATGCCCCTTACATACATTACAATGGAAATGGTGCCCACTGAAGTTGTCATCATAGGGACATTGCGTATGCTGTACATATGCAATTAATTAGGGAAGCTAACTGCGAATAGATCAATTCTGAAAAATAATGACTCAAATTTGTTTCTTGCTGAAGTAAACAAAGAGTTCAGTACCTAGTTTCCAAGATCTTTCTGAACTTCATCCTTTAGTACCCAACTTCCAAGTTTTCCTTGGAGGTCTTCTCTGTTTCAGTCTGTTAGAAGGAGAGATTTTCTTATGAAAGAGCTTCACAGTAGTGGGTATCACTTCTATTCTCATTCCATTGACTATAATTTAGTCACATGCCCACACTTAACTGAAAGAGAGGCTAGGAAATGAAGTTTATCTGTATGGACAAGAAGTGATGGACATGGATTCTGATGTCTTATCTAACAGTCATTACTTGCTTGGGTGTTTCCCATCACCTACCTCACACAATTTCTGAAGTGGTTAACAAAAAAATATATCCTCAGATTGTCCTCACTCAATTCTGAAAATCCTAAATGGGAACCATGCTACATAAATGTTAGTAAAACCAGAAATTCTATGGTTTGGGTGATTTTCTTCCCTCAAGTTTTCATGTTAATGTCTGATTTTGTATACCTGGAGGTGTGTGTGTGTGTGTGTGTGTGTGTGTGTGTGTGTGTGTGTGTGTGTATCCATGAGCAGTATTACCTGATCAATTTTCTTTAGCAATCTAACACTTTAGGGCATGAGGAAAATCTATGAAATAACCTAAATATTAATATACTTAAATGGTAGAGAGAGGAAATGATGGAGAAATTGCTGTTAATTTGGCATCACTAGCAACTGCTTTTATGTATAGGTTGTTCAACTTCCTTGTTGCCAGAAGACACTGTGGATGGAGAAAGAAGCCAGGGAATGAATGACTATTAATTAAACTATATGAAAATCTATTATAGAAAACATGGTTACACTTTAAACAATTTTATTCTGACATTTCAGTGATTCCACCTCATTGATTTCTTCATGAGACAATTAAGGAATAGCTTAAGTACTACAAAAATCCAGGATAGTCTCTGCTTCTTCTACATGAAGAAGAAACTAGAGATTTTCTTAGTTTCCAATAAAATATTCCAATTGACCAGAAAGAAAATAAATTGAAGGAAAAAGTATCTTAAAGGGGGTGGCTTAATGTCAACTCTAAGTGGAACATCACTAGAAGGTAGAAAATTCAAGCTTTCTTAATAAGCTCTCCGGCCAGTTGATTATTGAAAGTTATAAAATAGATACAGATTGAAACTCTAGGGTCAAATGAAGGGAATGGAATGGAATGAAAAATCAAATTGCTATACATATACTTTGATTACACTATATCAATTTCTGACCAAAGAACTGCATACATACCATTTGATTTATGTACATAAAATTCTAGAAATTGCAAACTGATCTGTTTTCTTTAGCAACCTAACATTTTAGAGCATTGGGAAAATCTATGAAGTAACTTATGAAATCTATGAAATAACATTAGTGTACTTAAATGGTGGAGGGAAAGGAAATGACAGAGAAATAAATCGAAGTTACAAACAAAACAAAATTAAAAAGTTTGAGTCTCCCATTAAGCCCCCCCCCTTTAAATCCGCCCCCCCCTGCTTTATGTACAGGTTGCCCAACCTCCTTGTTGCCAGAAGATAAGTAAACTAATCTACAGCAACAGAAAGCAGACCAGTAGTAACCAGGAGAGAGGTGAGCAGAGGGGGAATTATAGAGAGGCTGAGGAAATTCTTGGAGATTTCATCAGCTTTATTTGATCCTTTCCAATCTGAGTTGTTTTATCTTACCTTCTTCCTGATTTCAATGGCCAAAACTTCTAATCAGGCTTGACTAAAGGTTTATCAATTTTACGGATTCCAAAGAACCAGGTTTTGGTTTCATTGATACTCTCAATTGATTTTCTGATTTCCATTTATTGTTTTCTATTTCTTTCTTATTTCCTTTCTTTCGCTTCTTTGGGTTTAATTTGCTTTTCTAATTTCTTATGGGAGAAACTGAGATCATTTTATAATATAGGAATTTTGTTTCTAAATTTCCTCCATACATGGTATTGCCTTAGAATGCCATAAAATCTGATATGGCTTGTTTTTATTTTCATTCAATTCAAAATGCTTTCTAACTTCACCATAGGTTCCTTTTTTAATCAACATGTTATTTAGAAGAATGTTATTTTCTCCTCAAACATTTGTGGATTTTCCAGATAGCTGTCAGTTATTGATTTCTCATTTAATTCCACTGTGGTCCAAGAACATCCTTTGCATGACTTGAATTATTAAAAATTTATTAACACATATTTTATGGCTTAGAAAAAAGGTTTACAAGCTTTCTATAAAGCTTCAGTTTTCTATAAAGGTAAATTTAAATTAATTCTATAAAGGTAAATTTAAGCTTTGGGCCACATGTAATATTTTTCATATATTTTCTTTTTTAAAGAATTTTTTAAAATGTGAAAAACATTCCTAGTTCATAGACCATATAAAAACAGGCCAGTTGATATATACATATGGTCTGTATATCTATATATGGTCTATATAGGTATGTTTCACATATACACTTTAAAGAGTATGTGTATTCTGTTGTTAATGGAGTATTCTAGAAAAGTCAAATAAGTGATATTGGTTGATAGTGTAGAGTTTAACTTGCTAAGTTTCTACTTGTTCTGGTAATTATTAAAAGAAGGGTATCCAAATCTCTCACTATAGTTGAGAATTTGTCTGAGAATTTGTTTCTCCTTGTAGTTCTATCAATTTTTGCTTCATATATTTCAAAGCTATATTATTTGGGATAGGAACATTTAAAATTATTATATCTTCCCCATTAACTTGCCACTTTATTAATAAGAAATTACCTTTATCCCTGGAAATACTCTTTGCTTTGAAATGTACTTTATTTCATGTTAATATAGATGTACCCTTTCACTTTTAACTAATGCTAGCACCGGTAAAGTATATCTTTTTCTCTCCTTTCACCCTTATTGTTTTTGTGTCTTTGTATGCAAAATGTGTTTCTTATTGATAATAGCTAGTTGGGTCTAGTTTTTAATATAATCTGACAGTCTTTGCCTTTTAAGCTTTTTAATTTTGTTTGTTTTGTATGTAATGTTAGGGGTTGAATTTGGAATCTCACTTGGCAATACCCCTAGTCTAATATTTGCCTTTTAAATGGATGTTTAAATTATTTATATTTAATGTGATTATTGATATGACTAGATTTAAATTTGTCTTCTTGCTATTTTCTTTTTGTTTCATCTGTTCTTTGTCCCTTTCCCTCTCTTTCTGCCTTCATTAGAGTGAGTAATTTTTTATGTTTCTGTTTTACCTCCTTTGTTGGCTTGTTAGCTATAACTATTTTGTTTTTCTACTGGGTGCTACAGGGTTTACTGAATACAGCTTTAACTTACCAGAGTCTACCACCAAATGATAATACACCACATCACATACGCCAAAAGAACCTTACAACCTCATTCTTCCACTTCTCCCCTTCTTGCCTTTCAACTTTTGTCATATATTTTATACTTGTGTGTGTTATAAATTCAATAATACATTGTTATCATTTTTGTTTAGATTGTTGATTACCTTAAAGAATTCTAATTAATTTTAGTAGAAATTCTTATATTTGCCCATGTAGTTATTATTTCCAGTGCTTTTTATTCTTTTGTGTGGATCTGTATAATTTCATGTGGTATCATTTTCCATCTCTCTCATGGACTTCCTATAGCATGTCTCATGGTATGGCCTGATAGTAAAGATATCTGAGTTTAGTAAAGATATCTGAGTTTTTGTATGTCTGAAAACATTTTACTTTGTCTTTGTTTTTGAATGATATTTCACTGAGTATAGAATTCTGGGTTAATATTTTTTTCTTTCAGTATTTCCACTCTCTTTTCACTTGTAATGTTTCTGATGAGAAATCTGTCATCCTTCTTTTTGGTTCTCTATAACATAAATATTTTCTCTGGCTACTTTCAAGATTTTCTCTGTAACACTGGTTTTAAACAATTTGATTATATTGCCTTGGTTTAGTTTTGTTCTTGTTGTTGAGCTTGGATCTGTGGGTTAATAGTTTTCAATAAATTTGAAATTTTTGGATTATTTTTTCAAATATCTCTTCCACCTCTGTCTCTCCTCTCCTTTGGTAACTCTAATTATATAGATACTAAACCTCTGGAATTATAATCTAGAAGTCTATCCCAAATGAATTTCTTATCGTTTTTTAAAATTCTTTTTCTCTATTTATTTTGAATAGCTTCTTTGGTTATGTCTTCAAGATTACTAATCATTGTTTTCTGACCTAATTATCCAAGAATCCCATTTAGTGAATTTTTCATCAGATATTATAGCTTTTATTCCTAGAATTGAAACTTGAGTTCTAAAAATATATCTTCCTTATCTTTGTTTTTCAGACTTATAGAATACTATTACAATAATGTTAATGCTCTTGTCCACTAGTTCTAATATCTGTGTCCATTTAAGTCCACTTTCAGCTCATTCATTATTCTTGTCATTATGAGTCATTTTCTGGCTTGCATGCCTGGTAAGCTTTAAGTGGATGTGAGGGATTGAGAATTTTACCATGTTGGTTGTTGGAGATTCTTTGTTCCTACAAATATTTCTGGGTTTTGTTCTGGGATGCAGTGATATTACTCAGAGAAGTTTGTCTCAGTCTCCCAAGCCATTGGTATTACAGGCGTGAGCCACCACACCCCGCTTTTGAACCTTTTAAAATATTAGCTTTTAATGGCCCTGTCCTTTACAAGATGATACAAAAGTCATGTGAATTTCTTTTTATTCTACCAAAAGTTTGTTTTAACATTATTACAGAGTAATAATCTTAGTTGTGCCTAGTAATTAGAACTGAAAATTTACCTCACAGAATAAAATAGGGTGACTCTATGCCTAGTCCCATGATTTTTAACTGTTTTAAAAATAAAACTCTTTAATTTGTTTAATATTTCAGAATACTACTAGATAGATATCCTCAAGAATTAGAAATCAGAAATTTCTGCATATTTTGTGATCTTATTCTTTCTTCTACCAATGAATTCTTCATTTAGGTTAAAAAGTACATATTTGCCTATTTTTCATTTTAGGCCTTCTCATTTTGCCAGCAGCCTCTATCATGTCTCGTATCTTTTTCTTTCTAAAATTATGCTATTCTGAGCTTTGTGCCTGTGTGCTAAGTATAAGAGACAAAATTCTAATGTTCTACACTGTTTCTTGGGGAGTTCCCAAATGCTCTATTTGTTTATTTTTTTTACTGTAGTAAGAATATGTAACAAGAGATCTACCCTCTTACCTGGTTTTTAAGTATATTAAAATATTCTTAACGTGCTAATGGTTAGAACTAGGGTGCTGAAAGGAAGGCGAGAGGGAGGCAAAGAAAAATAAACTGACCTTAGGATGGTGTGAAGTGGTTTGTGGAACCAGGAAGAAGTACATTATGTCTTTTCATTTCCTTTTGTTGTAAGATCTTCAACTGGGAGTTAAGAAACTCAAATTTTAGTTCCAGTTTTGCCACTATTCATGAATGTATTCTCCAATCTCCTTAAATGGGGGCTAGCCATGAGAATAGAATTATTATACCTGAGAGGGTCTCCAAATCTCGGTAGCCATAATGCATGGATAGTTGAAAAACTGATACTCTTTGAAAAGGTGGGCGATAGCCCTAGTCAATATTAAATAACTCACTTTATGTATACACTAAAACTCTCATGGCATTGATATTGATGAAGTGTGAGATTACATAAAATACTTTTGAATATTCACTTGGTGAATTTTCAGTTTCTGTGGAAGTCTTATGTTCAAGGGGGGTAAACGTCAATTAGTCTCCTCCCTGCCATGCACAACTATCAATAACCTTGGCTAAACTGTAAAAGAAAACTGAAAAAGAACATGCCACAGAACCACAAAATAGTCTAGAACTCTGTCTCTGAAAGTCCAACTCTAGTGTGATAGGGATTAAAAGCCAGTGAATAAATATGGGGCCTTTTCATAGATATCAACTTTACTCCAAGACTTTAAAAAATGCATAGATGTTATATTTATACTAAATATAGGAATACTGCGATTTAAAATGCAATGTTTATATTAAATTTAAGATAGAACTTGAAACTAAAGAAAATTATAGCTTAGGACAAGACTATATTAAGGCAATTGTTCACTCTCTATACTATTAACTATACTTGTGTGAAAAAGTTTGAGGCAAAGTGACCTTGATGGTATGTTAAAACCTATTTTAGGGGCCGGGGTTATAGCTCAGCGGTGGAGTGCTCGCCTCACACATGGAAGGCCCTGGGTTCGATCCTCTGCACCACATATAAATAAATAAAATAAAGTTATTGTATCCAATTACAACTACAAAAAATAAATATTAAAAAAACATTTTCTAGATGGAGATGGATGGTGGTGATGATTATACAGCATTATGAATATACGTATTCAATATCACTGAATTGTACCTTTAAAAATGGTTAAGATGATAGATTTTGTTATGAGTATTTTACCACAGTTTTAAAAGTAGGGGAGAAACCTTCTACTAAAATCGAATGTTATCAACAAATGAAGATTTATCCCGAGAAATTTTTAATTTCAATATACATATATGTTGACCACTATATCCTGTTATTCAGCTCATGAGTCATCTCTTATTGTGCTCTTGAAAAGAATGCTTGATTCCAAGGTTTTTAAACAAATTAAAGAAGGTCCCTGTGAAGTAGAACCTTTACTTACCAGTTCTCACTTCTGTGGCTGACAGTTAGCCTGCATTTGTCAGTATACTACCTGTGTTTTTGAAAAAGAACACCCATAAAGAAAGAAGCCTGTTAGAAACAGTTCTAAAACAGACTTTTCATGAAGACCCTACCAGAAAATTTCTAGGATATCCTAAACAAATTAGACAAGCATTTACCTATGAAACTGTTCTTTTACAGGAGAGAAAACTTGGTTGGAAGGCTGAAATTATGGTATATCCTTATATCCTATAACAATACTTATTCAGCGATTAAAGTATATAACTGAATATTTACATATTTTTATAAAATTTTAATTTTTTTAGATGTTGATGAACCTTTATTTTTACTCATTTATTTATATGTGTTGCTGAGAATCAAACCAGTGCCTCCCACATGCTAGGCAAACTGAGCCACAACCCCAGCCCATAACTGAATATTTACTGATAGGAAATACGCACACACACACACACACACACACGCACACACACATAACAAACTGACGTAGAAGTTTAATAACAAAGGGTTGCTGGGTAAGGTAGTGCATGCCTGTAACCCCAGGAATTTGGGAGGCTGAGGCAGGAAGATAGCAAGTTGCAGATCAGCCTCAGCAACTTAGCAAGACACTGTCTCAAAATAAATTTTAAAAAATTTATAAAGGGCTGGCAATGTACCCCAGTGGTAAATCACCCCTCAGTTCAATCCCCTGTATAAATAACAATAACAATAACAACAAGGGATTGACAGTGATTATTTATGGGTGATTCTAATAAAAATTGCAAAAATTCTTTACAACATGAGGTTACTATTTGCTTATTCATTAATTCAACTAATATTTTCAGTATTAAATAAAACAGTCTCGGGGCTGGGGATGTGGCTCAAGCGGTAGCGCGCTCGCCTGGTGTGCCTGCGGCCCGGGTTCGATCCTCAGCACCACATACAAACAAAGATGTTGTGTCCGCCAAAAACTAAAATAAATAAATAAATATTAAAATGGCTGTAAAATTAAAAAAAAAAATAAATAAATAAAACAGTCTCTGACTTTTAACTTTTGAGACTAAAAAGAAGGCATGATCAAACAATCGTGGAAAAATTTTCATTCCTCTTTCATTCTCCTGACTTAATTGCCCTGTCATTCTCTCTCTTGTTCATCCAAGACTTTGGCCCTTAGCTTACAATATCTGCCTCTCCTGTACTTTTCTGCCATCATCTACCACTGTAATGTCCACATGTACAACCTGTCAAAAATCCTTGAAGCTCTGATTCCGCCAGCTTTTAGAGCCACTTCATTGAGCAACCCATATCCAAAGCCATACCTTCTGATCTCTACATAGCATTTACTCTTCCATATTCCATAGGTTTTCAACTGAACTTCTTATTTCCCTCTCCCCCTCACAGTGTTCCAACCCACCCTTAAACATATACACCTCTTCTCCCCACCTCTTTCCTTTCTCCACTGTTCTATCCCAGTTAATAATACCACCATTGAACTCTACAATCAGATGAGGGATGGGGGTTCATTCTAGACCATCTAGGTATCATCTCTATCTCAGACATCAATGGCCTAATCCAAAAGGTCATTATTGTCACTATCAGTGTAAAAGTCATACAAAAATACTTACATTTTTTAAAAAAATAGTAATAGAAGTGTGTAGCTCAGTGGTAGAGCATGTGCTTAGCATGCTGCAGGGCCTGGCTTCAATCCCCTACACCAACCATAATAATAATAATTAGTGGTAGTAGTAGTAAGAGTACTTTACAACATTCAGCCCAAGTAATTTAAATTACAGAACAGTATTACCTTATTAGCAAACCATGAAATTTACACAGAAACATATATGAATTGTGCTACTCTCAGAATTCAGAAGCCCAAAAATGTTTAAAGTAAATGCATCCTCATGGCTACCCTTAGAGTAAGAACAGTGTACCCTCAGATAGTCAGAGAGGTGTTGCCTGACCAACGTCCTGAAAGATGGAGCCTTCTATCCCACGAGATATCAAAATGCAGTTTTCCTGAAGAGAAACAAAGGACAGAATTCAATAATGCTAAATGGATGACATTCAGTAATGCTAATATGAAAAAACAAATAGGAGCCTTCCATGGTAAATTCAGAAAGGAGATGGGAAAAGAGGTATGTTGTTAAGGGGCCTTCAGAAACAATGCCATCTAATCATTCCTAATTGGTTTTTTTGTTTGTTTTTTCCCGTTTTCTTTAATACACATGTATTGACAGTTAAGGGAAAATGTTCAAATGAGAGTTTAGGGGTTTAGCTTTAAGGGCAAATAAAAGCTTGTACAAAGTATTTTTTACATCAAATGGTTTAGAAGAAGCCTTGAATTTTAATAACCATATCTACTAGCTTTTTTTTAACATCTAAATGATTTCAACTTTATATAAAAAGAAAAAAACTTTGAGCATAAAAAGGTACTAAAGGAATTCTATTTAGTTACATGCTGTAAGAGTTTCTTTTTAGAAAAAGGTTTCACATCTATTGTACTATATTAGTAGTCTTAAAGTTCATTAAATGTATTAACAAGTAAGTCATGTCCACTTTGGGTTTTGCCAATAGCATAAACATCTAATTACTAAAAAAAAAAAAAACTGTTATAAAAATACATCTTCCAATAAAGAAGGAAAGTTCCTTGATTAAATATGTATGAAATTAATTTAATCTTCTGCTTCATATCAGACCTATCTTATTTTTTAAGTTTCTTTAAAATTGGGTTATACAGGGCTGGGGCTGTAGCTCAATGGTAGAACACTTGCCTTGCATGCGTGAGGCACTTACATGCGTGAGCACCACATAAAGATAAATAAATAAAGATATTGTGTCTATCTACAACTAAAAAAAAGTATTTAAAAAAATAGGTTATACAATCCATATATATTGTCCAGAGTTCACTGGAGCAAAAAGTTAACAGTATGGGGTCATCAAGTAAATTAAATGTTAACAGCAAAAATTAAAGGACTAAATTAAAAACATAGGGCCTTAATCCTATATGATGAAAAGAAGTAAGGAAAAAGTATTCCCACAAGAGCTATAAAGTGCTCACCTATTTAAAATAAATTACTTCTTCAGAGCTGCCTTAAAAGGTTAATTTGTTTTTAAACATGTAAGCATTTCTTAGCCAGCAGGGAATGTGATATATTTATTTTCTTATTTCCCCATAGATTTGTTCTGTAAGAAATAAATTTTATATATTAAGAATGTAGCATAAGGCTTAACTATCTTATACAACTGGTCACATATCCTCAGTTATATTACTGAGAGACCTAGAGAGCCTCAATTTTACTTCTGTTCATTAAAAATAAATAAGAAATGAATGTTAATACCTGATTCCCTGTTCTCAACTTCCCAGATAGGCTTAATCCCAAGTCACTTACGTCTCAAAGGAAGTCATGAGGTATATATAATTTTATAAGTTTTGTTTTTGTTTTGGGAGGTTGGTTAGTTTGTTTTGTTTTGTTTTGGTTTGGTGTCAGGAATTGAACCCAGGGTTGCTTAACCACTGAGCCACATTCCCAGGCTTTTTATTTTTTAATTTGAGTCAGGGTCTTGCTAAGGTGCATAGGGCCTTACTAAGTTGCTGAGGCTGACTTTGAGCTTGTGTTCCTCCTGCCTCAGCCTTCCAAATCGCTGGGATTATAGGTGTGTGCCACCACACCCAACTACAAGTTGCTTTTATTCAACATAAAATTTAACTGTTCAGTTTTCATTTGATAAGTTGCTAAGAGCAGATCCATTTCCATTATTAATTAATTCTTTTTATTATCTAAAATTGCTCCCCAAATAGAAGAATTTTAATAGGTAAGACAAAAAGTTAATATCAAGCTTTAGTATACTTCATGCCACAATATGATATATGTCATATCATCTGGATGTCACTTTTACAAACTAGAACATAACCAGGATGTCACTTTTACAAACTAGAACATAACCAGGAGAAGGAAGCCAAGAGGGTAAAGGGTTTAAAATCATAAAACAACTAAAAAAATAAAATATTAAAGAAAACATTAGAGTATATTTGGGGGGTTGGGATTCAGATGTCATCATGACTAGAAATAACAAGTTATATTTAAAGAATTATCACAAATAGGAATAAATTTGTTCTTAGTAGCTTCAGGAGACATTTGGACTACGGGTGGGAATAAGAAAGAGGCATGTTTTCACTCCTAATATTATAAGATTCCAAACCTGAATAGGCTAAATACCCTTTATTAAGCTCTTATGAAGTTCACATTATTTTAAAAGCATTGTTCCAAAACACTGGATTCATTTTATCCAAGCCAGCATTTTCATACCAATTTTAAAAAACTAGATAACTTTAAACAAATAGATTTATCCCTTTTCAGGTATCATTATTGGTAGAGGGTAAGAAGTTTACACTTACTGTAAATGACTTTCAGTTAATTTGATTTGTGGTCAGGAACATGGAAGCAAGACAAATCATCCGGGGTGGGGGGGGGAAATCTCAAAACAAGCCCATAATCTTAACAGAATTAGAGTTTAAAATGCTATATAGGAATCTGCATTTCTAAAAATTGGAGTTATAAATTTCCCAAAATGGAAGTACATTCTCAGATGCGTGTATAAATTTTTCACCATGTAAATATCCTTTAAAAAAAGTATTTGTATTGATCTTTCATTAACAAGTCTATCCAACTACAAATAAATATGTTAATAAACACTATGTTCTCCTAAGCTAATAATTAAAGCATATACATATGTACCATGAGTAACCTCTAAGGAATATATTTTGTAATTATTATCTTCATGTGTCAGTTATCTACAGTGAAAAGAAATTATCCAAGTTATTTGGAAAAAAAAGAAATTGTCATTATCTAAAATAAATCTCAAGTTTTTCATTTTAAAAAGGAAATGTAGATGGGTAAATCTGTAGGAAAAACTCATAACATTCCTACCAATAAATTTCATTAAATGTTGTATAGATATATAATTTCAGTAATAAACTAGATGCTATGTATATTAAATACTTATTGTCCATCTTGATGTCTGACACTTTATAGAACTTTTTTTTAATATATATATATTTTTAGTTGTCAATGGATCTTTTATTTTATTTATTTATATGTGGTGCTGAGGATCGAACCCAGGGCCTTGCACATGCTAGGCAAGTGCTCTACCACTGAGCCACCCCTTCCCCTATAGAACTTTTTAAAAGATTTTTTAAAGTACTTTTATGAATTTGTTAAACAAAAAATACAGAAAAACACTTAGATGTTATTTTATTTTATTTATATTTTTATGGACATTAATCCATTCAAGAGGGGGAGCCTTCATGACCTTTAGGTGGTATCTTAAAAAGTAGAATATGCACTTATTACTACTACAGCCACACACCAGTCCACAGAAAATGGTTGTTTACATACTGTATTAGTGTCCTCTTGCTATAAAATTACCACAGATTACTATAAACTTAGTGGCTTAAAACAACAGAAATTTATTTTCTTATAGTATTGAAAGTCAGAAGTTCAAAATGAGTCTTAGCTAGGGGCTGGGGTTGTTGGCTCAGTGGTAGAGCACTTGCCTCACATGTGTGAGGCATTGGGTCCAATTCTCAATACCGCATATAAATAAATAAATAAAGGTCCATCAACAACTAAAAATATATATTTAAAAAAATGAGTCAGCTAAAATTAAGGCATATGCAGAACTCTGATCCTTTCTGAAGGAGACTTAGGAAAAGAAACTTTCTTAGGAAAAGAAGTTTTCTTGCCTTTTTCAGCTTCTGTAGAGCTTACAAGCTACCACTTGGCTCTTGGCCCCTTTCCACCCTCAAAGACAGCAATGGCTAGTTGAGTTTATTTCACATCTCATCACAGCTACTGACTTTTGCTTCCCTCTTTCACACTTAAAAGACCCTGTAATTACAGTGGATCTACTCAGATAATCAAGATAATCTATTTGTAGGTAGAGTAGCAGCCTTAACTTCTGTTCTCAATCTGAATTCCCTCTTGCCATGTAGCATGACATATTCAGATTCTAGAGTCTTGAACATTTCCTGTAGGCCATTATTCTACCTACCATAATTATGATTAATTTTTCCTTTAGTTTTCTTCATGACCCATATGGACTCATCTGTCTCTGAAACTGTATGCAAAATATTCAAATATGCACATTATTCTAGAGAGAGAGTTCATAACTTTCAACAAAATTTCAAAGTTTAAGAATCATTGGAGCCAGGCCCAGTGGCACATGCCTGAAATCCCAGTGGCTCCCGAAGCTGAAACAGGAGGATCATGAGTTCAAAGCCAGCCTCAGCAAAAGTGAGGCACTAAGCAACTCAGTGAGACCCTGTCTCTAAATAAAATACAAAATAGGGCTGGGGATGTGGCTCAGTGGTTGAGTGGCTCTGAATTTAATCCCCAGTACCACCCTCCCCCAGAAAAAAAGAATCATTGGATTCACTCATAGAATATCAGTGTTTCTTAGAAGAACAGTTTGGCTAATGCAACATTATAGATATGCTCTTTAACATATACATTAATAATAACACCTTGATATGACTTGAAAGTTTTTTCTTGCATTGTTCCTTGTTTTTTTAAGTAATCAAAATCATCCAAATTATACTTTATATCTTGCATTTATAAGCAGTTTTCATGTTACTGTGTATCATCTTTTAATGATGCTAATAGTACATGGAGTATATTTTCCACAATTTAAAATAGATTCTTCCTACAATTAGACATTTCACTCCCCTTGTGCCTTTCTATATAACCCCAATTTTTTGGCTATTATATTTAATGCTGGAATGGGCATATTCCTGCCTAACCCCTACACAGGTCTTTCTCCATATTTTGGATTTATTTCACCTAAATCAGATTTCTAAAATTAGAATTTCTGGTAGGCAAGACTTGAATATTTTCATAACCCTTTTACTTTCCACAAAAGCTGTTTTATATTACCACTAGTTCTTATAAGAATACCATAAATGTGAAGTGGTCCAGCTTTTTGTTATTGTTTTTGTGTCTTTTTTCTTTTTGGTCTTTAAGGGTAGCCTTTCTGTATAGAAAATACTATGCGGGGGTCACTTTTTTTTTTTTTTTTTTTTTGGCACTACTGAGGATTGAACCTAAGGGTACTTTACCACTGAGCTACAACTCCAACTTCTTTTTTGGGGGGTAGGACAGTACTGGGGATTGAAGTCAGGAACACCCAAACACTGAGCCACATCCCCAGCCCTATTTTGTATTTTATTTAGAGACAGGGTCTCACTGAGCTGCTTAGGGCCTCACCATTGCTGAGGCTGGATTTCAACTTGTTATCCTCCTACCTCAGTCTCCATAGCCACTGGGATTACAGGCCTGTGCCACGTCACCCAGGTCCAACTCCTTTTTTATCTTGAGACAGGGTCTCACTAAATTGCCTAGACTGGTCTTGAACTTTCAATCCTCCTGCCTTAGTTCTTGAATAGATGGGATTACAAATGTGTGTCACTATGTTCAGCTTGGGGTCACTTAATTTTTTTTTAATATTTTTGTAGTTTTTGATAGACCTTTATTTTATTTATTTATATGCGGTGCTGAGAATCAAACCCAGTGCCTCACACATGCCAGGCAAGTGCGCTATTGCTGAGCCACAGCACCAACCCCGGGGTCACTTAAATTTTGATAAAAATTATGAACTAAAAAACTTGTCTTGGGCTGAGGATGTGGCTCAGTGTAAAAGTACTTGCCTAGTATGTGTGAAGCCCTGAGTTCAATCCCCAGCACTGCCAAAAAAAAAAAAAAAAAAACCAAAAAAAAAACAAAAAAACCAAAAAAAAAAACAAAAAAACTTTTTTTTGGTACTAGGGATTGAACCCAGGGTCACTTTAACCATTGAGCCAAATCCCTACCCCTTTTTTAATTTTCATTTTGAGATAGGGTCCCACTAAGTTGCTTAGGGCCTCAGTAAATTACTAAAGGTGGCTTGGAACTTGGGATCCTCCTGCCTCAGCCTCCCCAATACCTAGGACTACAGGCATGTGCCATCACTGCCTAGCTCTTTCCTTAGCTCTTAAATTCAACTTGCAAATTCGTCTATTATTTGTAAATTTTAATAATAAGCGCTTCAAGAGGACTTTTTATGTTTTTAAACTGCCTTAGACTGCATTGACAAATTCTATTTTCTTAAGTACTTAATGTTTGATTAATAAGCAATATCTCTGAGTACTTAAATTCTAAATCTAGTATACTTTCAGAGAATCTTAAATTCTTTTAAAAGCCCAGATAGTCTTCATAAGCATCATTAAGATTCTCTATCTTTTAAGACTAATCTGATAAATATATCCTATGATAGGTCCAGTTTTCTTAACCATCATAATTTAACATACACAGATCATTCCTAAGCCTAATGCTAACATGGTAATAGTATAGGCTACAAAAATAAAGAGTATAGAATACAAAATCAGTTCTGTAATTTTATATATTCCTTGGATTAAAAACTATAACCCCCTGGTAAAAACTGTCATCCCAAGCATGTTAGAATTGCATCACAGGCACTGATTTACCTACCATTCAGAGCTTCCCAAATGGGATGATCTTGCCCACATCTCTCATATTAAAATTACAAATAACCTATTTTTTAAAATTTATTGCCAAGATTGTAGGTAGCTTTCATTACAACTTAGTTGGTTTTGTTTATTTTTGGATACTCAATGGTCAACCAATTGGAACCTTCACCTCTTTCGTTCTGTGACTTAGTTCTCTTAGTCTGCAAACTCTCAAGTCACACCAGCAAATGGAATCTAATTATTCATGCCACAAAAGAAGCAAATGTTTTAAAAATAGATATGTAAGAATTGTGTAATCCATCAATCTTTTATTAATACATGTTTTCAACTGTTAATTTTTTTAAAATATTTATTTTTTTAGTTGTAGTTGGACACAATACCTTTATTTATTTTTATTTATTTAACTATTTATTTTTATGTGGTTTTGGGGATCAAACCCAGGGCCTCACCCATGCTAGGCAAGCGTTCTACCGCTGAGCCACAACCCCAGCCCCTCAACTGTTAATTTTTAAAAGTAATTCAGTAACAATGAGATGAGATGATGAAAACTTTACATATCTCTTCTTTACATTCATTTTGAGATTATATCTTTTTAAATACTAATTAATTATGGGTTTGATTATAATTTATTTTTCTTCTCATTAACTAAATACAAAGCCATTCTTTTCTTTCTCACAGACTTATCTCTTTATATATTGAGGTTATTTAACCTTTACCTGCAGTATATATTGCAAATATATTTTAGTTTCTTTTTATTCAGGTATCTTTTTATTTATAGTGAAACTTTTTTCTGTATATATATATATTACAAATATTTGGGGGGCCACCAAGTAATGTTTACCAGGATTCTGTGTGGAGCCTTTTCAATCATTCTACATACATTCCTCAGTGATCTCATTTACTAAACACATCATGTAAACTACCACCTATAATCAGTCAACTACTAAATCTATAGATACCATGTAAACTAGGCCTTTTCCCTAAATTCCAAACTTCTAATCTGAAACTCCAGTTTTCTTTAAGGTGGGAATGTAAAGATACACTTGGCCCACAAGCATCTCAAAATCAGTATGTCACATATCAAAATTAACCAAACTTTTCTTTTTTCTTCTCTCTTCTTTTTTGTACTGGGGATTAAACTCAATGATGCTCTACAACTGAGCTACACCCCAGCCCTTTTTATTTTTCATTTTAAGACAGGATCTCGCCAAATTGCTTAGGGTGTTGCTAAATAGCTGAGGCTGGCCTCAAACATGCAGTCCTCCTACCTGTGACTCCCGAGTCACTGAGATTACAGGCATGCCCCATAGTTCTATTTTCTTTCTCTCTCAGTCAATGTTACCATCAGCCAACTAGCTCAGCTGCCCACAATAGAAATCTAGGAATCATGCTATTATACCATATCCATATTGAAAGGCTATCCATATAGAAAGGGTCCTAAGCCTCTTTAGTCTTACCTCCAACTTTTTCCATCCTTCCTTACTCTTTTCCAGCAATATAGATATTGAACTTACTGGCCTTTCCTGCTTAGGACATTAACATATGGCCTCCTCCTTTGCCTGGGATGTTCTTCCTCCCTTTTTGGCCAAGCCAATTCCTCTTTGTCCTTTCAAGTCTGTGCTTAGCCATCCCACTTTAAGAAGGCCTTATTTAAATATCTAGTGTTAGGTGTATGCTTTCACAGCATCTTGTATTTTTCTGTTACTTGTAATTGGTATTATTATTAATTAATTTAATATGTCTCTTTAATGAGACTGGACCATAGAGAAGAAACTATGGCTGTTTTATTCACCCCACATTCTCAGTGCCTAGCAAAGACTACAGTGTACAGGCACAGATTAGGTGCTAAAAGTTAACGTGAGAATACTTACATGAGTACTGAATAAATAAATCCAATCTCTTTTATACCTCATTTCATTCACTTGCTACTTTTTCTAGTTCATGTACTCATTATTTCTTGCCTGGATACTATAATAGCTTCCAAAAGACTCCCTACCACCTCTCCCACATTTTCTAATCTATTTGCTAATATCCTCATTAAATGAATTCCTAAAATACAATCAAGTCATATCATGGATTGGTTTAAGATTTTCTAGTTGCATCAATATAAAGGTGGGTCAGAAAGCTCTTCATGGTTTGACTTCTATCCACTTGAGCAGGCTGAGCTTCCTCAATTATAGGCTATACATCACAGCAAACTACCTGATTTTCTTAAACATGCCAGGTTCTCTCTATCTGCCCTTTTTCCTAACATTCCAGTGATTCTGCTTAAAATGCTTTCTTTGGCCTACTTCTTTCTCTTCTATAACTAGGATAACTAATTTCAATCCTTTAAGGCTCTGCTGAGGTGTCCTTCAAGACACAGAACAACTGTCACCTCCTCTATAAAAACTTCCTCTCGAGCTACCTATTTCTAACCTGGGCTAAATGGTCTTCCTTTATATTTGTTGAAGTATAATTTTTTAGAAAAATCTTTCTTTCATTAGACATTCAGCTCCTTGCTAAAAGAAACTATATATTTTCATATCTATATCTAATTCTGGTATGGACTTTGGTAAATGTTTGATTAATTTTGCATGGCAAGATATATTAAAACCCATAAACACATACCAATCTTTTGAGAAAGAATATTTGTACTTCTGGGAAATCTTCCAATCATTTGATAAGAATCTAAATTAAAAAAAAAGATATGCACAAATGTTCACATCAGAATTAGTTATGGTAGCAAAAAATGGAAAAAAAACAGGAATAGAAGAATGGTAGAATCTGCTGAATGATATGTAGCACAGCAATATAAATGAAGATTGTGGAAATGATGTAATTCAAATATTTGCTATGTGAAATGAAAAAAGGTTAAAAAAATTATGTCATACTATGATTCTACAAATTAAATGATTAGACATTTACTAAAAGGGAACATGAAAAATGTATGGATTGTTATTTCCTTTACTCAGAACTTTATATATTATTGATATATCTTCTTAATTGCAATTAAAATAATTAAAAATTAGCCTGGTACACTAACAAACACTGTAATCCCAGTGACTTGGGAGGCTGAGGCAGGAGGATCACAAGTTTAAGGCCAACCTGGCAACTTAGTGATACCCTGTCTCAAAATGAATTTTTGTTTAAAAGGGATAGGATGTAGCTCAGTGATAGATACCCTTGCCTTCAATTCCCTCTACCACAAGTAAAATTAATTAATTTAATCTGTGTCATGAACTAATTATATATACTTGTATATGTATATTTGTATGCATGTACACATACATGTATATATTTTTAGCTCTGTGTCCCAAAAGGTCCAAGAAGCAAAGACACCTCAGTATAGCAATGAACACACCTAGTTCTGGTCCCTAATATTATTTTCCACTAACAGGAAACGGAACTCCTTAGAAAAAAGGCTAATTCTAGGACCGAGGTAGGATAAGTATAAAATAAATGTAGAATATTTTTTAATACCAGAAAGTAAGGAAGTGCTCTAAAAAATGGTGTGGATATGTCAAAAAGTCAAAGGAGAAAGAACTTCTACTAGCTAAATCTAAGAAAACTTGAACATCAAAATAACTAAACACACAGTTATATTAGAATGAAAGACCATGATATAGGTATCTTACCCTCAAGTGGCTCAAAAACATTTTTTGATATTATATCCCTATACTCATCAAAATCTTCCATTATATTTAGCATGCATTTATATTTAGCTGAGGCTGGCTTTGAACTTGTGATCCTCCTGTCTCAGTCTCCTGAGCCACTAGGATTATAGGCTTGGGCCACGCAGCCAGCTCAAAAAAATTTTGTACATAAATATGCACATATAAACAGAGATGGCACAAACAAGAATAAGCAAACACAGAAATGGGAAGACATAGGAATTCATAAGTTCATGTAGATAATAAATAGGTAAATAAATAAATAAAGAAGAACTCTACTTGCAAATAGAATGTCGTGGGCTGCAAATGAGGAGGCAATACTAAAATTTGCTCAGTTATTTTGTAACCATCATGGTAAAATATATCAGCAATAATGGATGCTAAATATTATGGAAGATTTTGATGAGGATCAGGATATAACATCACAAATCTCTCCCACAAATTGCTTATTTACTGCCAGTAAGTAAAAAAAAAAAAAAAAAAGTAACTACACAATGAAAAATTCAAATCCCATACTGATGAAGTGATCAAAATTAAGATCATCACTGAAAGTCAGATGGATATCATGTGGTTCCAAATGTGATACTCAGAGAAGGAGACAATATTACCTATGCAATAGTCCAGATGAGAATGCATAATTTCAATCCAGTCATGAGGAAACATCAAACACAAAATGAGGAACATTCAACTAAAAAGAGAGTAGAGGGAGAAGCTGAATATTAAGTTAAATGTTCTAAATAAGTTAATTTTCTTCAAATATGTCAAGGTCATAAAAGACAATGAATCAAAGGATGAAAGTTTCATAAAGAAAAGGAGGCTAAAGAGATATGACCACTGGGTGCAGAACCTGACATAAGACTGGATCCAGTAAAGGAGGGGGATATGCTATAAAGGATCAACTTATCAAATTGGAATATGGATAATAAAGTATTGTTTCAGTGTAAATTTATGAAGGGGTGAGGGGCCAGAATCTTATAGCCTAATGGAAAATGGTTGAGGAAAAAATGTGATATAAAATTACATATATATGAAAAGAAAGAACTCACCCATGTATAAAAGCAAGCAAATTATATAGATTTTTAAAATTATTTTTATTTTTGGAAATTTTTTGAAAATTTGAAATTATTACCAATGTAAAAAGTTTAAAAAATGAGTCCACTTCAGAGAAACAAGACCAACATGAAAGTAAAAGGAACTTTAAAAATTCTGCTAAACAGATTGTTTTCAAAATGCTCACTAGTATGTATTGTTTTCAAGTTATTTTTCAGAATGTTTTCTTCTTTTATTTTTTATTTATATATGACTGTTTTCTTCTTTTAAGGGTATCCATTTTAAAAAAAAAATGAACAGACTGGGCTGGGGTTGTGGTTCAGTGGTACAGTGCTTGCCTAGCATGCATGAGGCATTGGGTTCAATCCTCAGCACCACATAAAAATAAAATAAAGATATTGTATCCACCTAAAACTAAAAAATAAATATTAAAAAATGAACAGACCTACAGCTTTCACAGTTTTATCCAAATAAGTTAATATGTTGAAGCTAACATTCCATCAGTTGTATTCTACTTATTAGAAAATAGTAGGGAGTGGGGAGTACAGAAATTGAAGACTTCTATTCTCCACACTACCCATATTTACCATTCATTTGCTGGTGATTGCAATCCAGTTTGCAGAATTAAAGCCCCGGATTTTAAACTATGACTTCAGTTCTTATGACAAGAAGCATATGCAGAGACACAAACTAAGAGGGCAGAAAGGGGTAGAGAAGAGATGATTGATTAACTCTTACTGTATTGAAGAAAGAATGCTGAAAACTTAAGCTTACAGAGTTCTTTCTTCTCATAAAGTATATAATTTTTTGGAGTTTTAAAATTCTGGGCAGATAATCCTTACTAATTTTTTACCCATGAGTTTAATAGTCTGAAGTAAAAGGCTCCCCCCCTCCCTTTTTCCCCCCCTGTTGAGATTTAACTCAGGAATTTGCACCCCCTTGTGGTCAAACATAAAATTCTTAGCTTTGGAAAGATCTTTTTTTTTTTCCAGTTGGACTTTTTGTTCAAGCACAGGAACTGTTGCTTTTGTTTCCTCCTATTTTAGCAAATCAAGAAGCTTTAGTGGAAGATTTCTGGTTTATTAAATAATATTTTAAATAAAATAAGACTTAAATATGAAAGCCACCTCTACAAAAGGTGCAAAATGGAGATTCAAACTCAGGAAGTTTGGCTTCAGATTTGATCCACTTAAATAGTTCATAAAAGTGTCAGAGAGATATAAGACAAATATACTCTGCCATGTTAATTGTTGATAATTTGAAAATGCTAAAAGCCATTTCTTTTTCCAATTATACCTCAATAATACAAACCATGCTAGCCTTCTCCCATTTCCTTACATCTTTGTACTTCAGATAGTCATACTCATTATCTTATTCAACCCTGACAATAATGGGATATGTGTTTTTGTACTCGGTTATAGTTCATCTCGAATTGTCTTACAACAAAAACTGGGACAAAATAGTTAATATCCCAGATTTTAGACTGCTGGATTCCTTAGAAAATCCATTTTGGGAGCTGAGTACCATAGCCCAGTACTGTAATCCCAGCTACTTGTGAGGCTAAGCAAGAAGATCCTAAATTTGAGGCCAACCTGGACGATATGGTAGTCCCTGTCTCAAGAAAAAAAAAAAATCAATCCACTTTGTGATTAAGGAAAAAGTAAGCAATCAACAATAATCTTAAAATACAATCATAAGAACAGTTAGTTGGTTTTGTTTCATCTTAACCAGCTTGATGTCAAGTATGATAAATCTCCCAAGAAAATGATTAGATGAGATTTTTTTAAGGAAGGTATTAAAATATTGACAATTTTAGTATCATTTATTGTCCTATCATAGCGTCCAGTTTTTGAAGATGGACACAGGTTTGCATGAGTCTTTACTTCTACTTAGTTGTAAGACTTTGGGGCAGATTTCTTAATATAAGCGTATGTCATAATCTGCAAAATGAAGATAATATCTACTTCATAGGGCTGTTGTAAGCAATAAAGGAGCTTAATCCAGAAAGCGTTTTTTCAGCACAGTAAGGAGTACAGTCAATACGTGGTGACTGTTACTACTTTTTTTTTTTTTCTGCGTTGCGTTGCACAACGGGAACCGTCTCTGCTGGATTCAGTAATTTACCACGCCATTATATAAATGACATCCAAAGACTGCCCATTCCTATCTCCAAAACAGAACTGAAAGTCTAAGGACAAGTAAGGCGGTAAGAAAAACTGGATTCGATGAAAATGGCTTAGTAACAAGCACCCTAGGACGGAGAAGGGCTCTAGCAAACTTAAGTAATCATTAACTCCAGGCTGGGGCGTGCGCGCGCACACACACACACACCACAAGGGACGGAAAACCACGCCTCCTGTGTACTCAGATTGGATCCTACAGTGCTAAGTGGCCCGAGTTCCAGAATCTGACAGACGCGGACTCAGCCACGTGTTTGGTACCTGTGCTACCTCGGGCAGATTATTTAACGTTCCCAATCATTGGTTTCCTGGTCTTAGCCGAGAATAATATCAGTTCCTACCTCGTAAGGCTGTCCCGAGGCTTAAGTGCAATAGCTCTGATAAAGCTCTGGCGTACTTCAAGAGCTCTACACAGCGACGGGGCTGTTTTAAGTACACGTGTATCCAACACATGATCTCAAAAGGCACATTCCGTTGTCCGTAGTTTAGCAAGACGTTTTTCTTTTAGCCTAAGCTGGACCCTAATTTGTTTACCTCCAACGGTAGACTGACTGCCTGTCTCCTGACAAGCATCTGTGGACTCTCGGGCCCACAGTATGTAAGGTCACTCCAGTCCACCGCCGTACAAAGGCGCTGCACGCACGCGCAAGAAAAGCAGCAAGTGAACGGCAGCCGAGGAAGCTAAGTGTGAGCTGCGAACAACCGTGCGTCTGCGCATGTACAAGGTGTGTGTATGGGAGGGGATGAGGGTAGGAGTTTACGCATGCGCAAATGTCGGGACAACAGGGGGGTTAGAGGTGGTATTGACAGCTGTGGAGGCAGCCCGCGTTCCCGGCATGCCCCGGGGCGGCGGGGTTGGCTCTAACGAATTTGAATGAAGAGCCTCAGCGCTTTCGGCGCCATTTTCGAGTGATGCCTGATCTCATCAATCTAGCGGGAGAGACGGGATAACCTGTCTGAGAGTATAGTGCCACTGGCGCTCCGCTGAAAAACCACTAAAAAAAAAAACACCAAAAATAACTTGGAGCAAAAGACAATCCGCGAAGCTTCGCCAGGGTTGACGCAGTGGGTAAGAGCTTGAAGTAGAACGGGACTCGGAAGGTGGCAGTGGTGGGACCGGCAGGCGTTGAGGAGTCCAGGGAGTGGGCGCTGGGTTAACCCTCACTTTAAACGCGAAAAATTCCAGGAGATAGGATTTTGGGTGACTTGGGCGCCTGCGAGTGGGCGGTGGCGGCGGAATGTGGCGGGAGCGCGGTAAGACGGAGCTGGGGGGAGGGGAGCTGTAGTTTGAGCGGGACCGGGACGGCTGCGGCCGAGCAGCCGCCGCCCAGCGGACCTGTCAGCAAGACCCCCCGCCCGAGGCCGGGGACAGGGCGCCGCGGGGTCTCGGCAGGGCCGCGACTCCTTGACAGGAGGGGACGCGCGCCCCTCCCCCGTTTCCGAACCGAGCCGCCTTTTCTCGTAGTTTTCCCTGTCCGCTGAAGGCCGTCTTCTAACGAGAAACTTGAGTCGACGGAAAATTCAAGACCCAGAGTACGGGTGCGTCCGGTGGGTGGTGGCCCATAGTGCCCCCACCTAGTCCTCGGCACCCAGCCATGCAAGTTGTTGTCTTTTGACGCTTAAACGTGAGGTGCCCTAGGAAGGAGTCAGCCCGGGCCGCGCTCCCCCCGCGCGGCGTCCTGGTGCGGTCTTTTTAGAGAGGGGTCGGACTGCCGCGCCCCGAGCTCGCGAGCGGGGCTCCGGGCGTTCGGGGCAGGCTTCGGAGGTGGTAGCGGGCTCCTAGCAAAGATGCTGGGACTTTCGCTTATGGCTCGGATTTTTGTTATTTACTCTCGCGACGTTGTCCTTCCTCGAGGGGGAGGGGTGTTCGGGGTGAGATGAAAGATGGGGCTGCGAGCTAGCAATTTCCTTCTCCTGACTATTTCCTTCTCTAAGTCGCACTCTTGTTAGAAGACTTTTTCCTTCTCCAGTCCTTGAAACATCCGAAGGGGGAAAAAGCAATCTGTGAAACCATGCTGGTATTCTCCGGAAAATTCTTTACCAGGGCAACTTAACGGTAATTTTGCAATCCCCACCTTTTCTTGGGAACTGAGGCGGAGGAGAGAGGGGTTGTTTGTCTTTCCCTTCACTGTTCCCCCCACCCCCGCCTTATGTATTTGTTTTTATCAACCTCTAGTCGACAACTCTTAAATAAAGCAAGCCATTGACGGCTTTAACTTTATTAATACTTTAGAGATAGTAACTTCTGTAAAAATTCTATTAGATCTTGAATTCCTTTTCCACAATGAGGCACACTTAGATTAACCCTTTGCTTGTGTGATGTTTTGCGTGTGGGGCGCGCCGCACTGGGTTGCAAATATTCTGGAGATGATTTTTGTAGCAGCTATTCAGTTATTTGCAAAGAGCAATAAAACTTCCTGGGAACCGCAGGGTCACTTTAGGACCGCCAGCCTAAAGTTTTCCCCTTTGTAATTAATAGAACGATTGATTTCCTATATTTCAATGAAGACTAGGGACCCGCCCTCACTTAGAACCTTTCCCGATGGAGAATAGGATAGAGCAATGTGATGTTTTTCAAACTGTTAAACGGAGCTCCCCAAACACCCGACTTCTTATCCCCTGATTGGCTGGAAGGAAGCGGGACTGGGGGGTTTGAATATTGAACTCTGGATTATAATTCTCGACCTACTGAAAAATTATACTTTTAGTTGGAGAACCATGGAAATACTTACAAAACGTTAAAACGGGGAATTTAAATAAAAATTGGTGCTTAATATTTTCTTCTCCCATAAAGGCTTTCGGATGGCTCTGAAATGTATATGAAAAGTAAAACTGAAGAGGCTATTTTCGCAAAACTGAATTTCTGCTGACAGAAATTGCAAGACATATATTTGCCCCTGTTTTTTATTGGTTAAAAACTGAGTGAAGGATTTAGGTTTTTGTGGTGTTGGGGTTTTTTTTCTTTTGATAAAAAAGTTTCATGTTAAACTACTTGTAATTGTTGGATGCAGATGACGGGAGAATCGTTTCTTTTATTTTGATGAAAAAACTAATTTTTTTAAAATGCTACATGATCTTTTCCACATTTCCCATAAGAATTGGCTATATTTTTAAAATTTTTAACTTCTGTTTTAATATATATATGTTTAGCTAATCCAGCCATTGTAGAAGACTTAAATTTTTAATTTACAAGACATTAATGTTTCTTAAGTTAGATAATACAACAGGTAAGTATGTACAGGTGCGTATGTTATTGCATTCCATTGATAAATTCATTACAAAGAAATATATGCAGCAGTGTGGTTGTTTTTATTTGGTTGGTTTTCAGTTGATTTTGTTTAATGTTGCTGGAGGCAGCCATCAACATATTTCTATTTATTACCAAACTTGTCATTCCATTTAATTGCATCTTGATAAGAGTCTGTGTGGTTTTTCAAAGAAAAGCAATACACTCGCTGATAAACAGTTGTAGATGTTTTTAAAGAGAATTTAAAAAAATTTAACAGACATTTATATAATTTTATGAATAGTAGTTGAAATTTAGAGTTTGCATTTTCAAAATATGTACTGTTAGAAAATATTAAAATGAAAACATGACAAATCTCTGTAGGACTTTAAATATAATTTACATTAATAAGTGGTATAATTATATCACCCAGGACTGGTAGGTTTTACTTTTTACTGCTTTTTTATTTTAATTTTCATTCAAATATTGTGACTGGTAGAGTGTTTTGGGGTGGGGGGAGGTTTTAAATTCCATCAGTCTGATTAAGTTTAGCCACTTAATTTTTTTAGTGATTTGGTTTATGGGATTTTGTTTATTTTGAGGATGATGAGTGAAAGATTGTTTTGTTTGATTTTAAAATAAGTGATGGATTCTTTTCTTTAAAATACTTAAAGCTTTAGAACACACTAGTGCCTAACTAAAATTCACAGCCTTTGAAGTATTTTCCCTTCTTGTGATGTTAGATAAGAGGAAGATTTTAGTTTTAGATTTGTGAACATGTACGTATGAGTTCCAACTGGTATGTATTTTTAATGTTTATATGCAGTTATCCCTTTTCTCTATAAAAAGATAGTTCTGTATGTGTGCGTGTGCTATTGTAAGAAATACAAAAATCATTTGTTACCATAGGAAAAAATGATGGAAAATGGTACTGCTACAATAGCTCATCTTTTTTTCAATACTAGATTTACATACTGTGGGGAGAAGGGAACAAGAAAAGGTACCAGCCTTCCTGTTTCATTTATTTGCCATTTATATACTGTTTTTTTAAAAATTCAAGTAAAAGTCTAACTTTAGACTTTTTTTTTTTAATGCTGTTAATTTGTCTTCATTGTGTGTTTACAAAATGTAGCCTCAGGTATTTGTATGTAACACTACATGTTTTCTAATCAGATTAATATCAGTTTTAATGTTTATCAGGATTGACAAGTAAGGATGAAAATTGCAAAGTAGTTGTAATATTTTGGATCCCTTGTTTCTGTCATGTTTTGTGTATTATGTTTTGTTTTATGAAGTCTTGTGTATATTTTATTTATTTATTTATTAGTATTTAGTAACTATTCATAATGTCACAAAATACTTCAATCCAAAAATATTGGTCAGTTGATTTTGGTTTACAAAAAGAAAAAAATTCCCCAGAGATATTAGGTATTTCTGATATATGACACATAAGCTTTCACCAATTACATTGTAAATTTGTCTCTAATTTTAAAATAGTACTGACCCAAAATGGCTCTTGCTTTTTTTTTTTCTTTTGTTTAATGACATTTAATTCCCACATTGATTTCTTTTTAACCCCTTTTAGGAGAAACAGGTTATTGGTCTAATTATAACTAGAACATACATCTTAGAAAGAATTATCAAAATATAGATATAGTTTTGTCTTTTTTTTTTTTTTAATTGAGCAAACTTAGGCTTGTGCTTTGCAACTAATTTTGGCCTATAAGTAGAACTAAAACTTACGACTTTTTAAAATTTTGTTGCCCCAAATCTCATAAGGCCAGAGGAAATCAGTAATAAAATACTACTGTATTTCAAATAAGTATTGAAAGTGAGATTGAGAATTTAATTTTAAGAAGTAACAGGTAACAGTATTAAATGAATTTTAAAGTGGTTGTCTTAATAAAAGTCACAACATTAATTTTAGAATATCATATTACTAATATTTGTGAATATATCACCTGATTGTTTGCTTGTATAAATGACGGTGGTAGGGGATATGGGAAGGGGCTAGGATTTTTTTTGTTTTTGTTTTTCCTGAATTAGAAATGATTTAAAGGCTCTTCCTTTTAGAAAAAGAAGTTTCAAACAATGGAATCAATATATTAAATACATACATACATATTGGAGTTTTATACTTAATTATTTCGTATTGAGTTATGAGAAATTTAATACACTTTTACTTAATCTGTCATTTGACTAAAGAATGTTTGCACTGAAAAGACTTATAGTTGTTTCTAAATATAAATAATAAGCTGTAATAGATTTGAATTTTACTATTTGAAGATTTTTTTTAATAATCACCTTTTTTTAATCACACACATTTGGTTCAAAATTTATCTTTATATCCAAACCTCTTTTGTTCCTTATTATCTAGTATTTTTTTGTTTCACTACTATTTAAAAACTTATATTACACTGTTGAAAATTTAACATTTAGGTTTTTACTATTTTCCTTCTATAATTTCTAAACTTAAGATACCTTAATTTTGAAGAGTACTCAAATATAGAAAACTATCTCTAATACTATGTAGAAATTGCCTCTTACTCATTAAGATTCAGAAAGGTGCAACAAAATCACAAAACTACTTATATACATTGTTACATCTCATTTATACTTGGAAACATTAAAAACTATGTGATCTAGAAGTGGTCCATCTATTATAAATATTTGTTTATTTTTAAAATAAATTCTAAATTTCAATCTGTTAAAACTGTAATGTATTGAAATGTTTGGAAATGTTATTATTCGCTTAGGTTTGGCAAAAGACTAAAATTTAACAATGGCACTTTCAATAATTATTAATACATTTGATGATTTTAGGGAAAAGGTAGTTAACTTTTGTCCCTATGTCTTAGTAATTTTTTAAATTGTGTGGATTTTGAGTTTTAGAAACACAAACTATATTTCTGATTCTATTCCTTAAAAAGTCTCCCTTTACCAGTCCTTCACAGATATCTATATACATAAACTCATTCACACCTCTTTGAAAGTGAATGCCCTAAAGAGAAATGAAAGCAGAAACATATTAATCTGACTTGTTTGAAGAGGCTTCAGATGATAAAGCATATCACAGGTGTTTATAATCAAGTTATTTCTGTTTTAAAAATATCATTTTCCTGTTGGGACTTCTTTGAACATTGGCAGGATTGGGGTCATTTTGAAAACTTTACCTTTGTGTTCAGGGATCTGTTGTGGAACTGAAGGAAACAAATCTGTTCAATGTCTTCATGCTATAATACATGACATTTTTATTGCAGGTTTTGACCTTTAGGAGAGAGCCAATTCTGGAAAACAATCTAACTTCTTTGATTGAATACACACATAATGCTTTGGAACATGATAGGAGATTAAGGTATAATAACATATTTTAAAAGCATATAATTTTATATATTTGCAATGTAATTGGACTTGTCAATTGGTAACATTGAAACTTTGGGGTAAACTAAAATCAATAAATAAAGAATTAAAAGAAATTATTGTGTGAAGTGACCCATATTAAGTTGTCTTGCTTATTAAAACTCCAGATTTTTTAATATAGATTATATTCTCATGGTATTGTATTAAGATCTAATTCTTTTATTTATTCCCAAGATAAGTATATATAATAACTTTTTTTCTAAAGAGTATTATTACAGTGTGTATAATAATTAAATATGTAGTAGACTTTTTTTATAAAATGGAGGGTTTAAGTCTAATGAAATTTGGTGCTTGGCTTTTTTAACAGGTAGAGAGGTAGGTAGAGTCCACAAATTTAGATAAGATTAATGAGAATATTTTAAATAAGAGAATTTAAAATTTCCAAGTACTATCCTAATCAAAAGTATCAATTTGGCTGAAACTGAAAAACTCACTTTCTTAAGCAGAAACTAGTATCTTACTCATACTCTGATTATTAGTTGTTCATATAAAAAGTTGCAACCTCTTTAATAAAATTGTAGAATACCTAGACCTCCAATGACTTTTGTCTTAACCTCCAAAATACTTTATCCCAGAACCATTTTTCTGGCATATTTATTTTTGATTTTTACACTGTTAGTTGAAAAATTCATATAGTATTTAGCTAATGCAATTTTGTTATCTAAATGGTAACCTGGTATAGTGAAAATGAACTTACTGAACAGTTTTACTAAGTATTACTTGGTTAGTTCTTTTATATATATATATATATATATTTTTTTTTTTAATGCTATTTGCTAAATAGTTGCTAAAATACAACATACTACAATTTTTCTTTAAATTTTTTCATGTAAAAAGTATTTACTTTATACACTTCAGATACAAGAAATCCCAAAAGTTTGTTTTTATAAGAAAAAGTAATTTGGTCTTAGAGTAAGTTAAATATGATTATGATCATAGAACTGCTTCAAATTTAAACAGTGTAAAAATTTTAAAACATTCTCTGTGTTTAAGAAAGTTTGAACATTGTAATTCTTATCAAAATACCAAAAACTGAAATTTGATTTTTTTGTATTATTAGATGTTAGAAAATTCAATGTGAATATTAACAGAATAAATAAAATGTCTCATTTTAATAGAAATCAGTTTAGAAGTTCTGGTACTTTTATATTGGTGGCATCATACTGTAAGGTGGTTGTTGGAGATAAATAAATAAAAAATAAAGAATGTCTTCATACCTTTGGTTTTAGAATATTATAAAGAAGCAGTTCATTTTTAATTGGACAAATAGAAATAAAATTTTCCCATCTCACTTAACCAGTGTTTTCCAGGTTAGAGAGAATAAAGATGAAACTGAAAAATATGTTTATCTGAGTATTTGAAAAAGATACCAGTTTAATTTGTTATTTTCAATCCATAATCTTTGACATGGCTTTAATGATTTGCAGGAAAAGCAACAGTATATGAGTTTGTATTGTAGATAAAGATATAAATCACAGAGTTGTTCCTAATTTAAAGAATTTGAATTGTGATCTTTGAAAGTGTCAGAACTTATTATTTGGACACAACAATTCAGCATCATCATTATTCTCTCTACGGTTACATACTCTGTCTTATAAACTAATAAGCTTTTTAAACAATTTAATATTAAAAGCATCAATGTAGATATTAACCATTTTATTATATTTGGTTACTTTTCACAGGGTAAGGAACTTTAACCTAATTAGTAGTATGTGTTACTTTAGAAGGCAGTTAATAAAAATTGGCTTTTACTCTTATGTGTGAATGAGTCTCTCCTAACCACCCCTTTAAAACTTGGACTGTTGTGATTTGGCAAATCTGATTATCTAATTAAGCTTAGATGTAGTTCATTATGTCAGAATTTGGGTGAAGAAATTTATTGTGTTAATTTATTTTTTTTTTCAGTGATAGATTTGTGTCTCATTTGTACAATATTTATTTAAACTTTTGGTTAAATGCCTAAGGAATTTAAATAAAATTCACTTTCAATAAAAAATTATTCATTGTAAAATACAGTTATACTGTCACTCTTTCTGTCTTACTGAAAAAGTTTTTTTAGAATATTTGAATAAACTAGATGTAATTTAATATATCTACAGATGAAGGAACTTGGAATTATTCATTATTTGTGATGTATAAATATAAAATATTTTAAGCAATTTGTCAATTACGATATTTTTCTTTGATAAAAGTTTTAGAATGTTGCTGAGGATTTGTGAAATAATAGATATAATTACCTTTTTTAGTTTAAAATTTTTTAAATGTTTATTGAACCAATTTTGTATGTATTTTTGTGTGTTTTTGCAAATAACACTCGTAACCTATTTCTATTGTTTGTCTTCAAATAAGACCTAATGTATCAAAATTAATATTTTCTGATCAGCATTTTTTAAAAGGAAACATTTAATTAATGTGAGGGTTTTAAATTTTTATTCAATATCATTTTGAGGTAGAATTTCTGTTCTCATCACTACAAACTACATTTTTTAAATTACATTAGCATATTATTAAAGTTGGTTTTACTTTCTTATTTTTGTGGTTAGAATCACTTGGAGGAAAAACTTGCAGTATCTTTCAGATGCGATTTCTGAAAATAACTCATTTCCATTTTTAAATAAATTTTAAGAAACTCTTTAGTTTTTTTTAGTTTTTTCTATTTACAACTTTTCATACTAAATAAATATATGCAGTTTTCTTGTTAGACTGTCATCTTCAGAAATATTTATATTTACTATTAACAATATTTCTTACTGAGCCAAGCAGAAAAAATACTTTTCAATTGTGATAAAAATGAAAGATTGAAGTTGGCTGTTGTTTTTTACAAAATATCTGAATTTAAAACATTGCTGTTCATACTTTTTTACTATTTAAATTTGCCAGCCAATTCTGTATAGATTTGTTTGTTTTATAATATTAATTGTCCAGATTTTTTTGACTTTATATTTTTCTGAATTAAAAATTGCTTACGGTGCTAAAAGATGACTCTCATTTAAACTTAAGTTTATATATAGGTCTATAAGTAGCATATTGTATTTAAAGGTAATTTAACAGAATAAATATTTCTATTTCTGTTTTTCATTATTTGCTGCTATGTACTTACCAAGTTTTTAGTTCTATATTACCCATTTAAAGTAGGTAAATTGCTTGTGGAAATTTTTTTTTTTAATTGTTGGGAATTTTTGTTAAATCTTTATGGCTAAACTTATTCTTTGCTAATAGTGTCTAAAATCAAATATATGGTGGTGATTAGATACGTGGTACCTAGAAGGGAGCTAGGGGCATTTTATAAGCAAAATATAATTTCATTTCTTGATTGAAGTTTGAACACTTTATTTCCTAGGGAATAGTTAGGGAAGGTACTCTCTTTATGCATTCACCCTGACAAATGGCTAAAAACTCTTTCAGAGAATTTGTTAATTGAGCAGTTAAATCTAAACTAAGGAGCTGAATATTATTATTTATTTTTTCCTTAGATATTATAAATTCTCTTTCTAACCAAAACATGAATTTTGTCTTTTCTTCACTTTCTATCTCTTTTTAAGGAAAAAAGTATATTTCTTAAAACAATTTGTCTAGTGCTATAAGCAAACTTGGTAAGTAGGTTTAGCCTGAACCAGTTTTTTTCTCTCTGTATTAGTTGCATGCAATTTTGTCAACTTGCTGCTTAAGCAGCAGAAGCAGCAACAGTGAACAAACAAGTATTACTACCACATCCCTTGTTCTTGTCTGTTCCAGCTGGGAGCAAGGGCTAGGAGATTGCTGCTGCCTGTCAGCTGTTCTACAGAATAGCATCAATATGCGGAAATGATCGTCAAAGAAGCCTGCACCCATCATTTTTTACAGGCCAGGTTGAAGGGCACAACTGTCTCTGTACCCATATATAATTTGTAGAATATATTCTTTGACACAAAGATATTTTCTTCCCAGTGCCTCATAAAGAGAAGATGCTATAGTTCTTAGGCTATTGTTTTTTACTATTTACTATGTGGGTTTAGTTCATTTTGTTTTAATTTAGATAATTTCATTTGTTTAGAATGGAATACTGACTTCTAGAAGTATATATAGTATGTTTCATGGTTTTCACTTTTAAACTGATATACTGGAAAAAATAATTAGTTGCTGATACCATAATTTAGGATAAAGAAAAGGAAAGTTGACTATGGCACACAAGAGTGTATCTTTCACTTTGGGGCCATATTCTGAGCCTGTGTTGTCTTTGTTTTATAGCATACTCTAAACAAGGTTGAATTCTTATTGATTTTGCTATAATTTAAAAAAAAATCCTACATTACTTAATATTGTAAATAACTAGATACAAGGCAGACCACAGGTGAAAACTTGTCTTATTTTTTCTCATTATTAAATTTTTCTATTTCTATTACAGGGTTTGCTATTTCTCATTATTACAATAATGTCATGCCATATTCTAAATCTTTTTTATTAAATGTAAATTTAATTTCAAATAATATAAAAAGGTGTTCTCAATTTTACAATTTGAATTTGTACAAAGTCACACCTTCCTTAACCTAAATATTAAAATATTTTTTTCCTTTTTTATATCTAAATTGTTCCAATAGATTATAGTTGGAAGAAAATAAATATTGGACTTCTATTAAGGTTCTGATTTCACTTGTAAAATTGTTGGTAGGAAACTACAGGTAACATTTTGTCTTAGTGTAAAAGCCTAATGTCCCAATTTGAAGCCTGCCATGTGCAATAGAATTATTTTTTTAAAGTAACCATAATTTCTTCCTGGTCATCTTCATTAAAATCATTCCTGATCAGGGGCTGGGGCTGGGGCTAGGGCTCAGCGGTAGAGCGCTCGCCTAACATGTGCAAGGCACTGGGTTCAAGCCTCAGTACCACATAACAATAAATAAAATAAAGTTTTGGTTTTTTTTTTTTAAATCATTCCTGATCATACCCACTCTTAATGTTTTCTTTTGCCAATAATAGTAAACTCAGAATATTATTTCTCTGGTATTAGTACCAAAAAACTTCTGTCAGGATGTGCTTATTTAACTGAAATAATTAATGAGCTCACAGTCTATTCTGGCACTGTGAAGTCAAGCATATTCAATCATAAATTGAGATTTTCTTTTTTTTTCCCTCCTGAGTTAGTGCTAGAGTAGCTTTTTTAAAATATGTCTATGTAACAGAGAACATATTAGTTACTATTGCCTACTTTTCACCAAAAAGTGAGTTATATAATCCTTTATTTTGAAATACACCTTTTTTTTTCCCATTAGTTATACCTTAATGTGTGTGGACCACCTGTACCAGAATAACTTGAAATAAAGCATTTTTCCAGACCTGCTATATCAGAACCTCTGGCAGATCTGTGCTCAGGAATTTGTGGGTTTTACAAGCTTAAAGAGAGCTTTTTCTTCTTTTTAGGAGTATTACGTGAGAAACACTTCCCGAAATGAAAGGGGGAGGACTATCCACACCAATAAACCATTTACTTCTCTTGCATTTTTTCCTCTTTGGTCATTTTGGATCTGACTAAGCTCAGTATTTAATTAATAATCATTTTTGTAACAATAGTATTGGTATTTCCTCAATCATGAGGAAAAACACATTATCCGAGCCTTATTTTTTTGCAAGTGCCTCTGGCCAAATTTTAGTCTATTATATTTGTTTGGAATTTTTAGTATTCTTATGTAAGATATATATTAGATGAAGGAATTGATCACATAAAAGAATTTTTTAAATATTCATATAGATAGTAGCTGTTTTTCTTAAATGTACTGTCAAGTGTTGTAAATATATGAAAAGGAGAACTTTTCATATGCTATTGTGGAAGAATTTAATTATATCCTATAGTAAAGTTGAAAATACAGTAGACTTGAACTCAATACATTCCTAGATTCTCTAGATAAACTCAGACACATGGAAAAAGAAGAATCTTATTTATGTTTTATAAGAAAAAAAAATTTGAAACCAGTAAAAATACTAAGCAACAAGAGAATGGTAAATTATGACACAGTCTCATAGTGAACTATATAGCTATTAAAATTAGAGCTATGTGTATCATCATAGATAACCTTCTCACACAAACAAAAACTACTTTATGGAGAAGTTATATTCAGTATAACATTATTGATTGGTGCTAACCAACTCAGTGAGACCCTGTCTCTAAATAAGGTGTATTTCAAAAGAAAGGATTATAAAACTCACTTTTTGGTGAAAAGTAGGTAATAGTATCTTTTATATAAAAGATTAGACGTCCATATGATGCCATGTATATAAGCTTTTAAGGAGCAGAATTTGTAGTAATAGTACAAAAACATGCATAGGAGATATATCAAAATTAAGTTGGGCCAGGCATGATGGCTCACGCCTGTAATCCCAGCAGTTTTCAAGTTCAAAGCCAGCCTCTCAAAGACGAGGTGCTAACCAACTCGGTGAGACCCTGTTGTTAAATAAAATACAAAATAGGGCTGGTGATGTGGCTCAGTGGTAAAGGGCCCTTGAGTTCAATCCCCAGTACAAAAAAAAAAAAAAAAAATCAAGTAGGGGTTACATCTTAGGAAACAATGGCAAGTAAATACACCATGGAAACAATTTCTTCTTATCATTACCCTTTCATTTACTCTTTGATCTAGGCAATTTAACAACTATATTTTCTTTAGTTTTACTCATAGCATCATAATATATTTTCAGTTTCCAGCTTACTTAAATAGAGTATAAATACAAAACTTCCTAGTTTTGTATTTATACTCTACTTATATATTACATAACAATATAATTCTTGAATTGGCAATATATAGACTGTAGATTTTGCAAATATGTGTGTGAAATCTCAGGATATGATCATGCCTTAACTTAAAATACCTGCAATTATATGATCTCCTCCAGAAGCTCATCATGCTCTAAGTTAGACTTTGACTTTTAAACTTCTAAAAGGTAAAGTAATAGAAAAGCAAATTTTAAAATCTAATTACAGTGCATGGGATTGAAATAGAGAATGTTGCTGCTGGGTATTTATAATCTGATTTTTCTCTGATATAAGAAGATCAGAAAACAATGACTGTTAACCTCAGTTAAGTGTTCAGAAAACAATGACTGTCAACAATGTCAGTTAAATGTTCTAATTTCTGTGATCAAATTTTTAAAGTTTACTCTTATTTTTTTCCTAGGTTTAATAATGACAAAATGAAGACTACAATAAAACAGCTCCCTACTAGCCCAGGAATTCTTACCTTGTGAGTATTAATTCTGAGCCCATGTACCATTGCTATAAAAGTTAGTTTGGTATCATATTTAGGTTTGTTTCTGATCCTTTTTTTCTATTCATCCTAGAATGTTTACTTTTTACTCTCCCCCTTAGTCCTCTACACATTAAGGTTGATGTTAGTTTAATATAATTTGGAGCAAGGATAATGCTGTTGCCTTGGGTAAGTTTTCTGTCATCTCTGAGAGTCACAATTTAAAATCTTTTCCCTTCAAAGGAATTTACAAATAAGTAATTTTTGTTTTTTTAATAACTTTATTTTATATATTTATTTTTATGTGGTGGTGAGGATCAACCCCCAGTGCCTCACATGTGCTAGGCAAGCGCTATATCACTGAGTCACAATCCCAGCCTTAAGTAGTGGTCTTTTTTATTGTCATTATCCAGGTTTATTGATCTTATGATTTTATAAATTGAGAGAATAGCCTCTTCACTTGAAATTTTTTTAAATTTGTTCTTACATTGCATTCAATTACACTTGAGACTTTTTTGTTCGGAGCTTTACATTTTGCTATTAAAACTTCAGGAAGGAGTAAACACCGGAAAGCAGTCCCTTTTTCTTCCTTTCATATATGCATTTGTACTCCTCTTTCTTAGAATAAGAAACATTTTTCTCCTGATTCATTTAATTTTTGAGAATTTATAAATTTTATAATTCTAACAGGCTAGCTAAAATCATATATCTAGAAAAACTCATAGATCAAAGTCATGTTAAATACACAGATGCTTACTTCCTAAAAGTATTTCATACCCTAAAATGAGTTACCAAAAAGATTCATTTCTATCCATTCCTTGAGCTAACTCTATCTCTAAAGAAATCTTAAACTGTTTCTGTTCTTGTTCCTGATGGTGTTGAGACATGGCCTTTTTAAATGAAAACTAGTGCTTCAGATGCTTCCCTTACATTATCTCACACATTGCATTGGTAGCTCGGATCACATGTTTATTGGTAGGTAACCTTTTGGTCATAAAAGATTGGCCATTCGACTCATAAGTAATGAGAGTTCTTGGGGGAGAAAGGGTCATTTAAATATGAAAATAGTTAATAATGGGCTAGTTTGCAAAGGTAGCCAAATGCCATAGGTCATTTTCTTTTCTAATTTTTTCCCTTCATATTTTTATGTCTGAAAAATTAGAATGGGAATATTCGCAAATCCCTAAAGAATTCTGTGTAAGCCAGGCTTGGGTTCATTAATTGGTCCCTTAGAAGCCAGTATAGCCTTTCTTCAACTTACCTCTTAGAAAAAGAAATATTTTTCATTGATATTGCGCTTATACTGTAGACTGGAGAAGAGTCCACTTTTCAAAAAGAGAGAAGCTGGATATAGTGGCACACACCTGTAATTCTAACAACTCATGAGTCTAAGGCAGGAGGATCACAAATTCAAGGCCAGCCTTAGCAACTTAGCAAGACCCTCAACAATTTAGCAAAACCCTGTCTCAAAAAATAAAAGTACTGCAAATATAGCTGTTGCAAAGCACCTCTGAATTCAATTTCCAGAATAAAAAAGAAAGAGGTATCATTTATCTTCTTGACTGACTTATAAGCACAGATGTCATATACTTTTTTAAAAAAATATTTTTTTTAGTTATAGATGCACACAATATCTTTATTTTATTTATTCTTATGTGGTGCTGAGGATCAAACTCAGTGCCTCATGCATGCAAGGCAAGCACTCTACCACTGAGCCACAAACCCAGCCCCCAGATGTCATTTTTTAACCCCATTTCATCTCCTTTATAAATTTCTAAGCAAACAGCCTGATTTGGCTCTTCTCCAACACTTTTAATATGTCATTTGCATTATTCATCATTGGAATGCTTTCTGTAGGTAGTATTCCTGGAATTCCACTAAATCATAGATTCTAAAATGATAATATTTCCAATTAAATAATACCCAGAAAAATAGGTCTATAATGATCATATGTTAACTGTGTTTGTCTCCATTTCTCTTTTTAGTGTTTATTTTAATGGCATAGTTGCTTTTAGAGAGTGATTTTTTTTTTTAATATTTATTTTTTAGTTGTAGTTAGAAACAATACCTTTATTTATTTATTTTTTTTTATGTGATACTGAGGATCGAACTCAGTGCCACACATGTGTTAGGCGAGCGTTCTACCACTAAGCCACAACCAGTGATTTTTATAAATGAATGATTTTTATTTATTTGTGAAATTTGTGCCCAAAATTGTGGCATAGTAGCATTCATATATTAAATACTGTCATAATTAAATAAGGATAATATATTGGATTCATTTTTTCCAAATTAAGTAAAGAGATGGTATATTTTTCAAGTGTGATTTTGGATGAAAGATTTAAAATTTTGATGGCTAACAAAAAACTCAAATAGTTTTACCTTTTCTTTTTCTTCACTTTTTCCATTTTGAACTATTTTTATTCTTTATATTGCATTTTTGGATACATAAATCTTAAAAAAAAAAAGATCTTAAAGACATTGACTTTCATAAATAGGGAAACTAGAGATAAAGCAGAAAATCCACCAATCCACCATTCGATGTCATCATTGTTGGTAGTCCTATAAAGTACTAAGGATAAAGAAAAAGTACTTCTTAATTCAGGAGACATTAAATGTGCCTGCTCTCAAAAGCTATCTTAGTAAAAAGTGACAACTATTTCCCATGTAGGAAAATAGATAAGGTTTAGAAATGTTGTCAAGTTAGCAATAAAACATTAACATGTCATTAAAGCAGTCTAGAAAATACTATTAGTGGTTGAATTATATGTAGTATAAATGTAATAAGACTGACTAGAAGTACTGAAAAAAAATCAGAATGTTTTTATCAGTGGGGCAGTAAGTAATTGATGGTAGAGTAAGTGATATAAAATCTGTTTTTCTTTCAATAAAAATTTAATATGATTATCATGTACTAGACAACTGGAAATCTGTTTTTTAAAATATTTTTTTAGTTGTAGTTGGACACAATATCTTTATTTTATTTATTTATTACTATGTGATGCTGAAGATTGAACCCAGGGCCTCGAATGTGCTAGGTGAGTGCTCTACTGCTGAGCCATAATCCCAGCCCCTGGAAATCTATTTTTAATTCATTTGTGTAGGAAATTTAGTCTTATATAAATCACTGTCTGCATCTCTCATGAGGAAATTTAATTATCGTGAATAATTTTTGTTTTAAGTGGGAATGTTTTCTGGGAGAAAGGTATGTGCCAAAAAGGAAAAAATAAATTGCTTATTTGGCAGTTAGATTAGTGGTGAAGGGTGTTCACAAGGATACCAGCTAATATCAGCATTTGGTAAAGAGGCTGTCATATAAACCTGATAAGATTAATTACTTTTAATTTAGTAAATACATACAGGTCCTTAAAGTTAAATATTGTTCTCTAATTTATGAACATAGGAAAAGTTTACAGTATGCCCTGTTTCTCATTGTTCTAATAACTGCTATTTTTAGGAATTAGTGCTTAATCAAATATCATGTGTTCTTTGTCCTCAAAACCTTATACGTTTGACATGTATATGTTTAGCAGAATGATTGAGTTAAATCTGAGCTTTTTGGTTTAGATCATAGCTATATTTCTGCTTTAAGCAAAATCAGAGCCATAAAATTTTGATTTTAGTGTAAAAATGAACTCTTTGTTTTCCCACTATGAACAATTTCTCAGTTTCTATATGAATTCAAAGAAAAGTAATAGGGAATTTCTTATTTATGAAGTTATTTTGGATGTTTTCTTAGGAAAACTAAACAAGGCAGAATTTTATACCATAGACCTGATTTAAATAGAAACTTACATATGCAAATATAATAAACTCTAGTGAATAGGGATTTCAAGCTTTGTGCATACATACAGTAAGTCACCTGGACATTTGATGTAAACTTGTCCTTACCTACTATTCTGAAACTTGAGTTTTTAAATTTATCTCCATGTAAAAAAGAGAAATAAATTGATCAAGAAATTTAAATACATATTCATGTTTTAGAGGCCTGACTTGGCCTAAATTATCAGTTTCACTCTTCCTTTTATCTTTAGCAAATAAATTTATGCTTATTTTGGTTATTAAAATAAGCTTCTTTTTTTTATTATTATTAGTTGTTCAAAACATTACATAGCTCTTGACATATCATTAAAACAAGTTTCTTTAAAATATCTTCTATGATAGTGAGATTATTTGTAGTTAATTAATGAAAATGAAGTTTTGAAATATTTAATAGTATTTACTACAAAGAATGCCATGATTTTCCAGTGACTAGTCAAATTACCACTAGTCAAATTTTAGAACCTACATTTAAAAGTTTAGGAGACATTAATATCAAAGACTATCTGGATTTCAATTTATTAATTTTTTTTCTTCAGTTTTTCATATCCTTTGGCTATTCAAGTTGATTCTTTATGCCACTGGTATTTGGTGCCTCACTATTTAGAATTTTAAATTGGCAGTTTACCCTCCATATCTTTAATAGGACAACTTAATAAAGTTCTTATGATGTGGAAATGTTACCCAAAGACCCAAATGTTAAATGAAGAATTGATGGCAAGCCTGTGGCACTGTTGGGAAATGATTGAACCTTTAAGAGGTGGGCCTACTGGAGAAAGTTGTGTTATTGGGGGCATGCCCTTCAAGAGAATATTGGAACCCTGATGCCTTCCTGTCTCCCTGAGTGTTTCTTGGCCACTATGAGGTGAACAAGCTTCCTCTTCCACATGTTCCCCCATGATATACTGTGCCGTTGTAGAGTCAACAGACCATGGATGGAAACCATTAAAAAAAAATTTTTTTTTTTCCTTTAAGTCTTAAGTATTTTATCATGGTAACAGAAAGCTAAATAATGCAAAAATAAACTGAAATTTTCTGAAAGTCAAATGTTTTTTTGTGGTGCTAGGGATCGAACCCAGGGCCTTGTGCATACAAGGCAAGCATTCTACCATCTGAGCTATATCTCCAACCCCTAACAGTCAATTTTACTCTAAATAGATCTTTACTTATTTTTAGCC